TGCATGAACGTGTCCGACACCAGTGTGTCCAGCTGCTGACCAAATACGAGTGTTCCCATTGTGGCAAGACCTTCAAGATGGCCCACCTGCTCAGGAACCACCAAATGAGCGAGCACCAGCTGCCGTACAGCCCCAACCACCGCTTCAGGTGCCGGTACTGCGACGAGACCTTCCCTGGCATCAGTGAGCTCAAGTACCACCAGAGAGTGGACCACGAGAAACCCTATCAGTGCCAGGAATGCGGCAAGTGCTTCCTGTCAGAAAAATGCCTGAACAATCACGAGCTGCGGCACAACGACGAGCGACCGGAAAGCTGCCCGGTGTGCGGCCGCGGCTTCAGGAACCGCTACGACCTGAAGCAGCACATGCGGACCCACACGGGAGAGCGGCCCTACCAGTGCACCCACTGTTCGCAGTGCTTCTCCACGGCGGGTGGACTGCGCAGTCACACCAGGGTCCACACGGGAGAGAAGCCCCACGTATGCCCGGACTGTGGAAAGGCTTTCTCCCAGATGGGGGCGATGCGCACCCACAGACTCACTCACACGGGGGAGAGGCCTTTCAAATGCACCATATGCGGTAAAGGGTTTACAATGGCTCACAAGGTAACGGTCCATATGCGAGTACACACGGGAGAGCGGCCGTACGTGTGCTCACAGTGCGGCAAAGCCTTCTCAGACGGCAGCGTGCTGAAGCAGCACATGCTGAACCACTCGGGGGTCAGACCGTACCACTGCCAGATCTGTCCCAAGACCTACACCTGTCTGAACCACCTGAGGAGACACCTGAAGAGTCACTCCAACATGAACTGAGGCTGCTGTAAAACATGCTGAACTTGACCTAAAACATTTCTGCACTGGTTAGAAAACAAAAAGGTACTTCATTTTTTTTATTAGACTGAGCCTGCAATACTGACTATAGAATCAAACTGTATGTTTGTTGACACTGAAGTGGAAGTGTGATGTAAATGAAAGCACATACTAATACAACCAGCGCAAAAAAACGTTTTCTTCACACCTAATAAGCTTTGTTTTCCTGTCTTTTTTTAACTTTTTTTCTTTATCCTGAGGTCTGCAGTGGAAAATCATTCCCTTTTAAACTCTTACAGTGAATTCTATAATGTGTCTGATCTGTGAAGAGAAACCTTATCTTTGTTAGCACAGTTTTTCTTTGTTACAACAGCAGTTTAAATACAACAAATGTAGGTTCTCAGATGAGCATGAGGCTGTAAGGATGAACGGCGTAGCAACCAGCCAGCAGTGATAGTTTTGCATGCATCTAGTAAATTCTATTATTTTGCACGACCACTTCATAGACTTTGCAGCTCATTTAGATGGCGACCATATTATGGTTGATATGTATGTGCTGAAATTGTAATACTGGCTTTCCTTTTTCTTATTGAAACCTTGTTAAACAAATTGTACATTTTATTTATTGGTTCAAAAATGTAAAAAAAAAAGTCAAGTTTATTTTGACAACCATAATTTGTTTGTCTTGTATTTCTTCTGAGGTTTCTGAAATCCGAGTTTCACATAAAATGAGTTTGATTACTTTATGCTTGTTTTTGGCTGTTTTGTTAAAAAGAAAAAAGGGGCCAACATCTTTATATGATGTTCAATGCAGTACCTTGCAAACTATGTGTAATTGTAAGGTTCTTTCAATACCATAGATATATATATTTTTGTGAGAATTTTAGACGATAGGCATAAATTAGTGCCAGTAGAAAAAATAATTATTTTTTCAAAATAAGAAATATTATAAATGGGCTCCTTGTGTTTGGAGCTCCTGAGGAAAAGCTTTACTACCTTAATATTCATAGCTGGTATTGTTTTGGTTCACATCTCTACAACCCATTGCACGGATGGAGATCTTTGTAAGAGAGTTTGGGATTAGATTGGATGGAGAACACATGAGCAATTAGATTTTTATTTCAGCATCTGGACTTAGACTGGATCATCATAACTTAGGCTTAAAGCATTTAAGGATGACTGTCCTGAAAGGTAAACTCCCCCCTCCCTTTAAATCCTTACATAAAATTTTCTTCCAGGGTTTCTGTATTTTTCACTACATCATCTTTTATGCTGAGTAGTTTTCCCATCTCTGCTGAATAAGCACATTTCTGTGACATGATGCTGCTATTTTATAATAGTTTAGAATAATACAATACGTCCTCTATATTATGGCAAACTATGGGAATACTTTAGGCTGTTGGTCTTTATAAACCTTTTTTATGTTATCTAACGAAGCAATTAAGCCTTAACATATTTGCTGCCTTTCAGCAGGAAGGTTGTGGGTTAAATTCCCGACCCGGAGTGTTTCTGCATGGAGTTTGCATGTTCTCCCTGAGCATGCATGGGTTCTCTCTGGGTACTCCCACAGTGCTAACATGATTGTTAGGTTAATTGGCTTCTCTAATTTCTCCTTAGGTGTGTGTGCGTAAATGGTTGTTGGTGTTGCCCTGCGAAGGACCGGCTGCTTCTCACCCGTAGACAGCTGGAGATGGGCACCTGAACGCCTCGCAACCCCACTTAGAATAAAGCATGTCAGAAAGTGGATGGATAACACTGGATTTGTACTAATATTTGATTTCACACATTTACTAATTGTGTGACTTCCGATAGTAAATGGTTATACTTTGTCAGTATGAGATTACATACATCCCTAATTGTATGCATGAAGAAATGTGAAATTTGTTCTTCTTTAAATTTAGCATTTTTGCACTATGTGGATCTATCATGAAAGTCCAATAAGTTTTTAATTGTGGTGTTGGAAAAGAAAAATAGAAAAAAACTCCCACTATGCATGAGATTAAGCATTTCTTAGCTTTTCACTAGATGGCAGCATGCAATAAAAAAACAATTTTCCATCAATGGCTGAACTGTGTTTTCCTTTGCTCATTAAATCAAACATTTACTTTCCTGTTTGATAAAAAAAAAACTCTTTGGAGTTTAATTTACCTGCAATTCCCAGTTGTTTCTTTTCCTAATCAAAAGAAATTATTCAAATGTAATAGGTACCAACTGTTCAACACCAAAAACAGGGCCACCCCTGTGCCAGTAAATGTTTGTAATTTTCCCTCAGGTCTACAGCTTCTTCCCTGCACTGTTAAAGCTTGTTTGTTGTATCTGGGATCATTACAGAGCAACCTTCCCTTGGAGGAAATCATCTCCATGGGATTCACAGGGAAGTGCATCTACAGAGGATGAATGTGGCGGCGTGTTAAATGTTGCAAGATGTTTATATCTGCAGACTGGAGACGCTGGCTGCCCTCAGCCACATGCCTGTTTAATGACGTGGAAATGCTGCAAATCTTGCTGGAACAGCAGGGCTGTGTGGAAGAGTCACATCTTCACAAAGCATTTTTGTCTTTGCATTTTTATCTTTAATTTCTTATATTTTTTTTTATTCTAATATGTTTGTGAAATGCTAAATTAAAGGAGTTATTCAAGAAACTAGAATTAATGAGGTGGGGGAGCTTGAAGTGTAGTGCATTCCTCTGGATTTATATGGTTTAAATTCTTCATGATGAACAGTTTTCATTGAGACATTTCAAAATGCACGCATTACAGCATTATAAGGGCACCACAGCTGCTAAAAATCTTAAAGATTTACTACGAGAGCCTGCTAATAAGAATGGATCAGTACCAGATGTCCCTGTTTTCTCTCCCTCTTTCCTCCAGTGATCTCAGTGGAAAATCCACTTCCAAGCCAGACTTTTTCCTACAGTCACACACTCAGGACACAAACACGCACATATGGCAACAGCAATCATTCAGCATCCAACCTCCCACCCCCTTTAACCTTTTCCAAGTTATACCCGCCCACGCCGTTCTATCCCCCCTCCAACGATTGTTTCCAAACTGATTTCCAAGGTCAACACAAACACTAGATGGCGCTGTGTCTCTTCCTGCTTAGATAGAGTCCTCTCATAGGCCTACACCCTTCCTAACTGTTATGCTCAGGTCAGGCCTGTTCGCCAGAGTTTCCACTCCTCTTTCTCAAGAAACAAGAACTTTTTTTTTCTTTTTAACTGGAACAAGAGGAGAAAACGACGCCTTGATGTTTCTCAGCTGCTTTTAATCAAGCCTGATAGATCCGGTTTTGAGTGGGCATCATTTTTCAACTTGGCAGTTGTATTTTCTTCAAAAACAGAACAACACTACACTTGGAAAGACTTACCATGGCTTACCACTTACCATGAAAAAGTGAAATTAAAGCCAAATCTCTATCTCTGGTGTTTCTGCACCCATTTAAACTTTTAACACTTTTTATATCCACCTAACTTAGACTTAGACAGAGGTTATTTGTTATTTGTCATTTTGTTTACACAAGTGTATTTTGTTTGGAAACGGCTCTCTGGACAATTTCATCTTTTTTTAAAGTGCAGCCTTGAAAAATTGTAAAAACATCTGCATATATATATATATATATATATATATATATATATATATATATATATATATATATATATATATATATATATATATATATATATATATATATATATATATATATATATATATATATAATATCAATGTTTTCTATTAATTAAGACATATAGACTGACAATAACAATATTTGTGGGTAATGAAAACTGGATTTCCACATCAAGCTTTTATAAAAATTCTAGAAAAGAAAAGGCTGGTAATATTATTTTGTACACACCTTAAAGGAACAATAATTTACCATTTGTGTTCCATAAACTTTGGCCACTTTTAGACTAATCAACGTTTTTTTTTTCTTCTTTCTTTTGTTTAGTTAATTGCCTGATTTTCCAACAGGCTGTAAAGTTTTCTCACATGCGACTGAAATGTTTCACTGCAGCATGCATTGTATGGGATTCCATTTATTTCAAAAATAGGTTGATGTAATATGAAAAGACTTTAATTATGTGTGCACATATTTAATGCTAGTCTGAACTCTTATTCCGTGCGCGTTCTGGCGCTCCACACCCATCCACCCCTGGGAACTCCTCCTTCTTTTCCTCCCTCTCCGTGCGCTCTGGCCATCCTCTGCGCGCTCTGGCTCTTCGCCCCGGACAAACTGTGGTGGGGTGCGCTCGGTCTCCTAAAAGTTGACCGAATTTAGCGCAGAAGAGTCGGGCAGAGTTGCATTTGGGGTTTTTATTCGGGGTGCACAGGAGTGTCGTATGATTCGGGTTTGAGGGTGATTTATTTTGCAGATTTATCATGGAGGCGCTGAAATGTCTCCTTGCGCTCCTGTGCGCTCTCCTGGTTGGAGCACAGGACGAGAACATAAAACAAAGCTTTAGGGGTAAGTTTTCTTTAAATATATTGCTTTAAACTAAAAATATTCTACTTGATATGATAATTTAGACTTACTTTATAAAAGTTTTTATTTTTATTTTAAAGTGTCTGCCTTGCTGTTACATCAGATATTCTTTTTAACTGTTAAAGTTGCGCCCTATAGAAGTAGCTGCAAAGACGCAGAATAAACTTAGAAGGAGAACAGAATGGCATCTGACTGTTTCTGATCCCTTTGAATGGGCCTTTATAAAGACCAAATGTTTGATACTTGTGTAAAAACCGGGCAAAAAATGCAGGAAAGTGTGTCTTAAGTTTTCTCAGTTTTAAGTGCAATAAAGCTTTTTTAGAATTATGACAAAATGAGCTGAATGGAATCCAAAGTGATGCTTTTAAGAAGTTGGCCTGCAGTCTTTCTGTGCAGCAGTGGCCATGCGTGGGCTGTGGATGCTATACTAATTTATTTTTTGTTCATTGGGAGATAAACGTTAGTATTTTGATCATATTTTCTTCTCTTTTCCATAGACTAATATTTGGTTGTGTTTTCTAAACAGACTGTCCCGTGGACCTTTTCTTTGTGCTGGATACATCTGAGAGTGTCGCCCTCAGACAGAAGCCCCCCGAATTTTATATCAACCAGATCAAAGAATTCACCAAAGAGTTCATAGATGAGCTCAAGGAAGTGTAAGACAAACACACACAGAATCCACATTCAATCACTTTATGTTTGCTCTGTATGGGGAACTGGAATACAGGCAGAAAACCAAAGTGTCATTAATGCAAATACAAATGGGGAGAAATTTGGGGGTTAAAGGAGTAACGCATTTGACCACGCCCACCTCAGATAACAATGTGTTGTAGTGTGTTATGTAGTGTTGCAGTGTCACCATTCCTATTTTGATCATAACTGAACAGCTTTATGCTCATTTATTTGGCTATTTAGCAAAGTTGGACTGCAGGATCGTTCAGGGATCAGGGAGCGAGGCACTGGCCATCAGTGGAGCATCTCTTATTTTTATGTATTTTTTTTTTTTATGTGAGCCATATGACCACAGGATACAATCTAGTGAAAAATAAAAAAAAGTTGTCACAAACGTCTGCAAATTTTAGGACTTTAAGTCATTTTATATGTCTTGCTTTTAGTTTTGCCACACAGGTAGTGGTGACTTAGAAAACGTAATTAATAAACAACAAATCTTAAACCTTTTATGAATTATGCTTTTCATTTAAAAGGTACTGTGCCTTTTTGGTATATCTGTCATCCAGACTTTCTGAACCCTTTTTTGTTTCTGGAAAAAGAACAAACTGAGTATTTTCTGTGCAATAACCTGTTTCTCTATATTTGACACCCAATGCAATAACTATATATATATATATATATATATATATATATATATATATATATATATATATATATATATATATATATATATATATATATATATATATATATATATATATATATATATATATATATATATATAAAAAACTGTTTTCTCACCCCTCGTGGGGTGGTATGTGTCATCCTCAAGCTCGGGTCCTCTACCAGAGGCCTGGGAGTTTGAGGGTTCTGCGCAGTATCTTAGCTGTTCCTAGGACTGCGCTCTTCTGGACAGAGACCTCTGATGTTTTACCTGGAATCTGCTGTAGCCACTCTCCCAGTTTGGGGGTCACAGCCCCCAGTGCTCCAATTACCACTGGCACCACTGCTGCTCTTACTTTCCACATCTTTTCTAGCTCCTCTTTCAGCCCTTGGTATTTCTCAAGCTTCTTGTGTTCTTTCTTCTTGATGTTGCTGTCGCTTGGGATTACCACATCTATCACTACTGCCTTCTTGTGCTGTTTGTCGATCAACACGATGTCTGGTTGGTTAGCCATCACCTGTTTGTCAGTCTGGATCTTGAAGTCCCATAGGATCTTAGCTCGGTCATTCTCAACTACCTTAGGAGGTGTCTTCCATTTTGACCTTGGGACTTCCAGCCCATACTCATGGCAGATGTTCCTGTACACTATGACAGCTACCTGGTTGTGGCGTTCCATGTATGCACTTCCTGCCTGCATTTTACACCCTGCTGTTATGTGCTGTATTGTTTCAGAGGCATCTTTGCACAGTCTGCATCGGGGGTCCTGCCTGGTGTGGTAGACCCTGGCCTCTATTGATCTTGTACTGAGTGCCTGTTCTTGTGCTGCCATGATTAGTGCCTCTGTGCTGTCCTTCAGTCCAGCCTTCTCCAGCCACTGGTAGGATTTTTTGATATCAGCCACTTCTTCTATTTGTCTGTGGTATATGCCGTGCAGTGGCTTGTCCCTCCATGATGGTTCTCCTTCCTCTTTCTTGTCCTCGCTTTCGGTTTTCTCCTGCCTGAGGTATTCACCAAGCCATTTGTCTTTGGGGGCCATCTTTCTGATCTACTCCTGGGTCTTAGTTGTTTCATCCTGGACAGTGGTCTTGACACTCACTAGCCCTCGGCCTCCCTCGCTACGCTTGGCATACAGTCTCAGGGTGCTGGATTTGGGGTGGAACCCTCCATGCATTGTGAGGAGCTTTCTTGTCTTGATGTCAGTGGCCTCTATCTCCTCCTTTGGCCAGTTTATTATACCAGCGGGGTATCTGATGACTGGTAGGGCATATGTGTTGATGGCTTGGATCTTGTTTTTCCCATTCAGCTGACTTTTCAGGACCTGCCTTACTCTTTGTAGGTATTTAGCTGTGGCAGTCTTTCTTGCCATCTCCTCGTGGTTTCCGTTAGCCTGTGGCACCCCAAGGTATTTGTAGCTGTCCTGCACATCTGTAATGTGGCCTTCTGGTAGTTCAACCCCCTCGGTTCTGATCATCTTCCCTCTCTTTGAGACCATGCGACCGCACTTGTCCAGTCCGAATGACATCCCAATGTCGTTGCTGTAGATCCTGGTAGTGTGGATCAGTGAGTCGATGTCTCGCTCACTCCTGGCATACAGCTTGATGTCATCCATGTAGAGGAGGTGACTGATGATTGTTCCGCTTCGGAATTGGTATCCGTAGCCAGTCTTTGTGATGATCTGGCTGAGGGGGTTCAGGCCTATGCAGAACAGCAGCGGGGATAGTGCATCACCCTGGTATATGCCGCACTTGATGGTGACTTGTGCTATTGGCTTTGCATTGACTTCCAGACTTGTTTTCCACAGCTTCATTGAGTTCTTGATGAAGGCTATTAGAGTCCTGTTGATCTTGTACATTTCCAAGCATTCCAGTATCCATGCATGTGGCATTGAGTCATAGGCTTTCTTATAGTCAATCCAGGCAGTGCACAGATTTGTCTGCCTGGTCTTACAGTCTCGAGTTACTGCTCTATCCACTAGTAGCTGGTGCTTGGCTCCTCTGGTGTTACTGCCTATTCCCTTCTGGGAAGGGTGCATGTATTGAGCCATGTGCCTATTCATCTTAGCCGCTATGATGCCTGACAGGAGCTTCCATGTTGTACATAGGCAAGTTATTGGCCGGTAGTTGGATGGGGTTGTTCCCTTCTGGGTATCCTTCATGATCAGGATTGTCCGTCCTTGGGTTAACCATTCTGGGTGGGTCCCATCCATCAGCAGTTGGTTCATTTGTGCTGCGAGGCGTGCATGAAGTGCGGTTAGTTTTTTCAGCCAGTAGGTGTGGATCATGTCAGGGCCTGGTGCTGTCCTGCTCTTCATACCTGCCGCTCTTTCTTGGACATCTGCCGTTGTAATGGTTACTGGTTCTTGTTCTGGGAGATTGCTGTGATCTGTTCTAAGATCTTCTAACCACTGAGCATTGGTGTTGTGGGATGCCTTCTTCTCCCATATGTTTCTCCAGTACTGTTCAGTCTCAGCCCTGGGTGGATCTGATCTTGAATTACCCTGCCACTGTGAGTACACTTTGGATGGGTTGGTGGAGAACACCTGGTTTATTCTCCTGGCTTCTGCTTCTCCCTTGTATCTCTTTAGGCGGGTGGCCAGGGCGGCGAGTCTTTGTTTGGCAGTTTCTAGAGCCTCAGGAATGGACAGCTTGTTGTACTTAGGTAACCTTTTCCCTACACCTTTCTGCAGGTCTGAGAGCTGACTAACCTGTCTTCGTGTTGCCTTGATCTTCTCCTCCATGGGGGCTCTGCTTTGTGGCCTGTGGTGTTTATCTTATAGCCAAGCATCTCTAGGATCACTGTAGCTGTGGCGTAGGTCAGCTCGTTGGTCTCAGTTATGTTTTTAGTAGGGATAGTATGTAGTGCTGCATTTACATCTTCTAGAAGACTTTCAGAGGGTACTCTGTCACTTAGCCTTGGCAGTCTTGGACGTCATACTAGGGGATCCAGTTTGGTCATGATCAGCCGTCGTAGGTCAGCCGCCCTTACATTTAGTGGGCCTGTTGTTGTTGGGGCTGGGGACCCAATCTCTGTGTGTTGGGATGATGATATTTCCCTACTGACCTGTTGTCCTGACTCCTCCTTACTGCAGCATGTCAGTTGTACCTCATCAATTTCTAGTTGTGATAGGAGCTGCCGTTTGCGGATGTTAGAACACTGAGTTAGTAGTTGTTTCTTTGTCAGTGTGGATGATGGTTGTTGGAGCTGCCATAATTCCCATAGTCTCTGCATGTAACCTCTCTCACTGGGGACGCTTGTATAGTAGCATTTCATCAGTACCAAGTTTTCTGCTCTAGTCCATCTATGTCTTGTTCCAGTAGCCAATTTGTCATCAAGTTGCCCTGGTTCCCTAGCAACTGACGCGGACCTTGTTAACCCGGGCGACGTCCGAGCCGGTATGGCTCTTGTATTTGCGGTATCACTCATGCCTTAGGTAGGCCACTAAGCACAAAGGACCTTGCCTAAGGGTCCACCATATATATATATATATATATATATATATATATATAGCAACATTGGTGTGTATATAACATATACGTATATATATATATATATATATATATATATATATATATACATATATGTTATATACACACCAATGTAAACATCATGTGCAATAACCTTGTATGATAATCCTACTATAAAAAAAACACAAAACAACTGTATATATCCCATTGACCTTTTTCCTTTGGCACATTCTTCGGATGTAACGATTACATTTCTCCACTGTGAGATCAATAAAGTCAATAAATCAATCAATCAAACCTCCAACCTTTACAGTTGCTCAGAAGCAAATGCTCTGCTTGCTAACCATGAAGCCACACCATCGCAGTTCCAACCCCTGGTTACTGGAAACTTAATGATAGGTCAAGTTAAATCTGTAATTAGATAAAAGGCTTTATTGCCATTAAATAGAACATCCAATGCTAATTTGATTGGTAACATCTCTTTGTTTAAATTGATTATTAAAGGAAAGCTGAACCTCAAACTAAAAAGCCAACTCCAAAAGTTGTATTTTCCATACCTCACAAAAAACACAGGGTTAGCTGAACTTTCACATTTTGAAATAGCCAATAAAGGTTTAAGTACTGGAGACTCTTTGGAAAAAGTTAAAGATTACAACTGGTTTTTTGAACTGGGCTAAATTATTGTCCCTAAACTTAATGTTTTTTTTAGTTTTTTTTTTTAGGTTTATACAAATGAAATTAGCTTTTCATCTAAATTAACATGTTGGTATACTATTAAGTGCAACAAGTGGAATACGAACTGTAAATAACCTTTACATCTTTACTGCAAAAAAAAAAGGTGAATTATGTGTCTGTTCTGTTTCATACCAGTTTTTCTTTGTGTCATTTAGATTTAAAGTGTTATTTTTCAAACTCAGATTTAGTCATTTTTATTTTATCTTTATACCATTTCTCTTTTAGCAATATAAAAGGCTGGTTTAAAAAAGCACCTAGAGAGATGATTCAAAGGGCTGTATGAAAAAATAAACATAACAGGAAAAGACAGAAAAAAGTACACTGCAGTGGCATTTAGATAATTAAATAATTATTAAGAATTAATGATTCAAGTGAACAATGATAATATTGATTGATAATAAAACTAAAATAAGTTGGACTACAAATTTAAACTAATAATGTTTATATGGTACTGGTAAGTCTAATCATATTTCATATCTTTATTTAAAGCAAGCTATGGTTTCAGCGACATTGGTTCATTTAAGTGCAGCAAAGGGCTGGATGATATGGCTTAAAAATTTAATCTCCTGTTTTTTCCCTACAAAATCTGAATAATTGATTTTCTTTTCACTTGAATTTCATTATAAAAAGACTTAAACTTAGACTTAGACTTAACTTTATTTATCGTTTGAGGATTACTCCTTTAGGGAAATTTTGGTTCCAGTAGCTTATATAGAGTAAAAAGAGTTAAAGCAAGATGCCATTAAAGATAAAAATACGACAGACAATAAAAAAAAGAGTGTATATAGTACAAAAAAGCATTTAAAAAACAGGTTTGATGTCCTGGAATATGTTTCCCTATTATAAAAATATCTGCACTGTAGAGAGCTAAGGGAAGACTTAGTAGTTGACTTGGGTTATTGCATTTGCACTGCGGAGATGTACTGACCTTGTAAATATATATATATTTTTTAATATACATGCTAAACAGAAATTGGCATGTGTTGTTGCACAGTGAGATGTTTTGCATAAGATATCCAAGGATAAATGGGGTGCTGACCCTTGTGGCCTCTTCCTGACAAAATGACAAAAATGAAAAATTAAGTATATTGCTTTTCAAAGACAAAATTTTAATTCAATCATCCGCTTTGGAAGGTGACCTTAATCTAAAGGGCATAAAATTCAAGCTGTGAAACATGCTTGTAAAATAATAATTTTTCACAACAAACAATGAAAATAAAACAAACTTAACATTTGCAGCTAGTGGTATCACACAAAGAGCTACTTCATCAGATATAAGTAGACATTTAAGAATAAATAGTGATGAAGGGATTTCACTCTGAACTATGGAAGCACAAGAAGTTGACTAGTTTAAAATATACAGCTTTTCCAAAATTTTAATCTTCATAAAATTCATAAAAAAATAATTGATTGATTACTCAGCTCTAGTGGAGCATCAGTACTAAAATCTAATCCACTTTCACAGTCTACATCTAAATTATCAGTGGACCCCTCAGTGTGTTCAGCTCTTTAAAGACGTTCTGGATGTACCCTTGCTTCAGAAAACACTCTGCACCCTGTCTTACCCTCCATCTGCCACTGTGTTCCAGGCAACACCAATGTGACCGTGTCGTGACGTGGAACTCAGGAGCCCTGCACTACAGTGACGAAACCATCCTGGTGCGACATCTGAGCAACATGCGCACAGAACGCCAGGCCCTAAAGAATGACATTGACCAGATCAGCTACATTGGAAAGGGCACCTACACCGACTGCGCCATCAAGAGAGGCCTGGGAGAGCTGCTTGTTGGGTAGCAGAGACTCAGGATGCACGCTGTCAGCATAGAGGATGATGGTCTTGACTTATCTAAGTGTGTCCTTGTATTCTTGCAGGGGCTCCCACTACCATGAGAACAAGTACATTGTGGTAGTGACTGACGGCCATCCTATCACTGGCTACAAAGAGCCATGTGGGGGGGTGCAGGAGGCTGCCAATGAAGCCAGGCAGCATGGAGTTAAAGTGTTCGCTGTGGCCATCTCACCTGACCAGGAGGTATACAACATACAGGCTCTACAAAAGATTTCACAACCAGAATCGCTTTTACTTTAAACACTCATTCATTTTAGCAATCCACAGCTGGCAGCAGATGTTACGTAACAGGATGTGAAAAAATAGCTTCTCACTGACTAACATGAAATAAACTCTTCATCTTTAAGGAAAGTTAGGATTCTCAAAATCCTCTATTAAATGTACCCACATACACACACAAAAAAAAATGAATATGCCTTTAAATAATTCAGCAAAGCTACCAAAGTGAGGTCATATATTTGACCTTCTGTTAGTGTCTTGCATAAATGATTTTCTTTATTTTCTTTATTTTCATTTTCTCGCAAAAAAGTATCATGTTTATTAGTTTGATAAAGTAACTCAACCCCCCTTCCTGTGCCACACTACCCTTTTACTGAGCATTCACTGTATGACCTACTTTTGATACAACCGTTACTCAGAGTGTTTGTACTTTGAAACCATCAAAAGAGCCTTAGAGAGCGGGTCAACTTTTAATTTTTATTTTGATTGTTGTCTAAAAAGCCCTAACTGTAATAAAAGTAGAACATTTATGTTAAAGGGATGCGAAAAGTCCCAAAACGACATTAAATATACCATTTTATCTAAAAGCAATTAGATTTTTTCTATGGTTTTTCCATATGATCACAGCCTGCTTCGCCTAACCTTCTATGATTCAAAGGAAAAATGAACAAACAATGGATATTTGCAAAACATAGCACTATAGAGATCCCAGCGCTTGCAGAGAACTTAGGACTCCCAATAGTAGACCTAAATTTACGCCACTTGGAGGTCCTACTGAGTAATTGTTGGCTCGTAACATCTGATTAAATGTTTAAAATGGTTTAATCAGACTATGGCTACAACTAACCACTATTTTGCTATTGAATTAATCTGTTGATTGTTTTTTCAATTAATAATCAGATGGCAAAAAGTTCCTTAAAGAAGATTTTAGACAGAATTTGAACCAAGTAAAGCTAGAGCTGTGTCTTTTGATTACTTCTAGATAGCACATATTAATGTCAGAAAGTTTTTTCTTTAATGCAAGTTCTTTTTATATTTGTTTACACATTTTTTTTATAAAAACTGCTTTGAGGGGGTTATTCTGTCTGTTGAGCTCATGTTTTAGAGACTCTATACTCAAGTCAGTGATTAATCGATTACTAGAGTAGTTGGCGATTTTTTCAATAATTATTCCAATTAATAGTTTCAGCCCTAAATCAGACAGCTAAGTGTAAATTCTAGTATTTTAAAGCCTAAGATGACTTTAAAAAATACAAATAAATAACACCATCAAAAAAATATATATTCAAGCACAAGAAACTCATTTCTACGGAGCCCCTCTGATGACATGGTCAAAAAAAATGTTTAATTGTGGCCACAAAGTAGTATTTCGTGCGCACGAAGTAGTATTTCGTGGCCACGCAATAAGTATAACGTGCGCACGAAATACTTATTAATAATATCAATAAATCCGCCCCTGTTTTCAGGCTTATGTTAACTGTAATGACTTATCTTGGACAGGCTGCTATGTAAACAGGCCTTTAGTCCTTCGTTTAGCTATGCTGCGGTTGTTTACACTACGCCTTTTGCACCTAAAATGGCGTCTTAGCAACAAATGTCACGTGACTGGCGGAGACCGACTGGGTAAGCAAATCGAGCGCGCCTTAGACCTTAGAGAAGGTGCGCTCGATTTGCTTACCCAGTTGTCCAGGAATGATATTAATATTATTAATAAGTATTTCGTGCGCACGTTAAACTTGTTGCGTGGCCACGAAGTAGTATTTCGTGCGCACGGTAAACTACTTCGTGGCCACAATTAAAACATTTTTTTGACCATGTCATCAGAGGGGCTCCGTACATTTCCATATAATTATTTTGCAACATAAATTTATAAAAATTAATATTTAAAGTAAACGAAATACATATATGTTAGGAAAGGAAAAATACATTTCAACGTCAATATCTACTGTTTTCTGCACATTTAATTAATCTCTAATAGCTCAATTTACTTGTGATGGGTAGAGCAACCAGAAATTTCACCCAAGTAAGAGTACTGATGCTTTCACAACAATATTACTTAAGTAAACAGTACGTTAAAGTACAACTTCTAAACATACATTTGTTTGAAGAAGCTACTCAAATAATTATAAATAAGTGAACGAACCTAATTGCTATCCCCCTCTAAGTTGAGTTAATTGGTTTAACATTCAGAAATTTTTATAATTTTTGTCATTTTTGAAAATGACTATTTTATTGTGATATATCGATATATCAATAATTTTTTTTAAACAAATCCTAAATGATGTAAAATGCATAGTGAGAGAGGAAAAAAAAAGTAAAGTGTTTTTTTTTTTTTTTTGCCAAGCCTTTGTAACAAAGCAGTTCAAAAATCTAGATAAGCCAATAAAGAATACAACATGATAAAATCTCACTCAGATTAAAACAATCTTATAATCTTAAACAAAAGTAAGCTTTAACATGAGAGAAGAGCTAAGGTCCACACACTGTTGGAAATATCCCCCCTTTTGCACTTTAATAAAAGGGCATCTATTCATTGTTTAGAACAGCGAATTCTATCTTTGTGCAACTCTGTTAATTTTGAAGTAAGGCATATGGCGTCACTAAAAGCATATTTAAAACAAGGAGAATGTGAAGATAAAAGTGGAATAGAGCCACCCAAACCTAAAGCTTGGAAGCAACTTTAGGTTTCTGTTAACAAAACTGTTGAATCAGCTGGACCGTTAAAGAGTTTCAGATCTACGTACAGTACTGCATGATCTGACTTTTGTTGTGTTGGTATGCCTTACTGCCGAAACATATTACACTGCCTGACCAAAAAAAAAGTCGTCACCTGGATTCAACTAAGCCAATAAGTACGAGCCTCCTATCGGATAATTACTGCATGAGCGATGATCTTTCAGCTGGCAACAAGTTTTTTAACCCCAACTGGTGCAATGACTTGCTTCTCATTTCCTGAACAACCATGTCGAAAGACACATCCCGTGGTCGTGGAAAAGATGTTAGTCTGTTTGAGAAGGGTCAAATCATTGGCATGCATCAAGCAGAGAAAATATCTAAAGAGATTGCAGAAACTACTAAAATTGGGTTAAGAACTGTCCAACGCATCGGCGATCTCTTAAACATGTGGTGAGATCAAATCGAAGAAAAACAACAGTAGAACTCAGGGCTATGTTTAATACTGAAAGTAAGAGCATTTCCACACGCACAATGCGAAGGGAACTCAAGGGATTGGGACTGAACAGCTGTGTAGCCGTAAGAAAACCACTAATCAGTGAGGCTAACCGGAAAAAAAGGCTTAAATTTGCTAGGGAGCATAAAGATTGGACTGTGGAGCAATGGAAGACGGTCATGTGGTCTGATGAGTCCAGATTTCTCCTGTTCCAGAGTGATGGGCGAATCAGAGTAAGAACAGAGGCAGGTGAAGTAATGCACCCACCATGCCTAGTGCCTACTGTACAAGCCTGTGGGGACGGTGTTATGATCTGGGGTTGCTGCAGTTGGTCAGGTCTAGGTTCAGCAACAGTATGTGTTCAAAGAATGAGGTCAACTGACTACCTGAAGATTTTAATAATAATATTTTTTTAGAAAAGCAAACATCCTTGCAAAAGTTTAAAGATGATTTGCTAATTGTTTTACATAGAGAGTAACCATAAAAAAAGATTCGGCTGAACCCTTCTTTGATCACTAAGGTACAATAACAGTAGCTCTTTCAGAGCTGAAGGTAAACATGTTTATGTTTTTTGTCTTACCAGGATACCAGACTGGCCATCATCGCCACGGACCAGAGCTACAGGCAGAACTTCACTGCTGCAGACGAAACCAGATCCGCCCAAAAAATTGAAACTATTCGAACCATCATCAGTATGATTGTATGTATTCTCTCTCATTGCTCTTTTTCTTAATAGGACAAGTTTACAAAGAACTAATCATTTTCTATCTCTTTTCCTTTACAGACCAATGAGACCAAGGATGTGGTATGTTTTTCTAATAACATGCTAGGGGTAGATACTTCTTTAGAGTCAGTTAGTAATGGTGGTCCTCTAGATTGAGCCCCAAGATTATCTCTAAAATTGAACGTTTTTTGTTTCATTACATGTTGGAACTCACTGCTAGTTAATGTAAAACACTTGATTGACAGCCACAGAGGTCACAATATGCTATATCTGCCTGATATGTCTAAAAACATCATATAGCAGCAGATTTACTGTTTATGATAATCCTCCAGTCAGGCTTAGTCTGATCACCTGGTTCCACTCAGGTCCAAACCCTGCCTAACTTCAGGTTCCTTCCGAATACCTCAAATTGATCCGCCTACCTACTTTCCTAGCCTCTCTGCCTTCACCTTTTGCGGGGACGGAATTAAGATCACTATCCAGGGTAGGAAAGGAGCTCCGGACTGTTTTGCTGAATCCAGATTTCAGCCTTACCGATATCATTACACTATGAACACACACATGAATAGTGTTTGTTAAATAAGGACTACAGGCTTCCAGAAAATAACTACAAATAAAACAAAAACAAAAGTAAAACAAGTATAACCTTTTGTTATAAAACCTAAAATTTATGAAGATGTGACCATTAGCATTTGTTGCACAGAGAACACATGAAGATTTCTGGTAAACTGTGAGGCCGGCTGAGTCTATATGTCCTGTCACGCCATGGATTGTGGGTATAACTCCTTGCTGGTCTCGCGGTCCCTATGCTAACTGGACTGGTGATAGAAGGCATCCTGCTTCCTCTTCCTGGCTCCTTCCTTAGTGCCACCACTATACAGACACCTCTCATTATGGCGACTGCTGAAGCACCTCTGCCGAGGCTTATGTGTCCTTATATGTCCTTACCAATTTAAGGTATTCGGATTGAGATTCACACTGTCAGGATATATAATGATTGCTAAGGAAATGGGTAGGATGTTGAAATTAGCTTGAATTACTGATTAAAATGGCTGAGACAGCGGTTGTTTTGGCAATTTTTCTCCTTCCTGTACACTAAAGGTTATAGCATAGATAGAGGACATTGTTTTCCAGCTCTTTCCTGTTTTGACATTTCTCCTCTCCTTTTGCAGTGCTGCTCCTTTGACTGCAATGTAAGTGTTCATGATTTTATCTTTTTCTATAATGAACTCTTATCTCTGTCCCATGCTGTATTCAACAATTATCTTTGTTTATATTTGCAGCCTCCTGGAGGGCCAAAAGGACCAGACGGGGAACCTGGCAGCCCTGTAAGTTATTTAGCAATAGAGCAGTAATCAATGACAAAATACTTTAAAACTCACATCAACTTTTCTCTTTCTTCAGGGAGAGAGAGGTCGACCGGGAATGCCAGGAGAGAAAGGTGATGTCGGCCCAGGGGTGAGTCCTTTAACCGCTTTTTTTAGCCTTTTCTTGCAAAATGATGACATTTTGAGGTAATATGTGTTCCTCTTTCGCACAGGGCAATACTGGTGATCCTGGTCCAGTTGGATACACTGGGATGAAGGTAAAGGAAATTTGGAAGTGACAAAAGAGCTTCAACATGGTGACATTAGCCTGAGCAAACCTTGGTCAAATTCAAGCCCCCCTTTTTCTATATTTTATATTATTTAGTGGCTTGCTATTAGATTTGGCTAATTATGTAGTCCTGAGGTAGACAAAAGCAAAATTCACACACTAATGGACGATTGACAACATTACTATTATGCTTTTTTCTCATGGATTTGTGTAAAACACACAAAAAGCTATGATCAACATAAAATGTTAAAATAACTTCGAGCCAAATAACTATCCTGTTGGTACAAACTAAATGGACCCTGCTCTGCTTATCCGTTTTTGGCCACCCTTCAGTGCACATTGGCCACTGCTTGGCCACCCCTTTGAAAATTGTCTGGCTCCGCCACTGAATGCAAGCCAGCTAGGCTAACAGCTGGTATTGGTATTGTGTTATTTTACATTTGAGTACAACTAAAAGCTACACCAACCAGATGGGTTATTTCATAGTTTGGCTTTTTTTCCATCCTCCAGTCGAGCAAAAGACAAGTATATATATTCAGTTTATCCTCCATATCAGAGTATGAGTTCATCTGACATGTAAAGGTGAACACTGAGCATTTGATAAGTTTGATAATATGGAGAAAAAAAATAGTCACTAGTTTAAGATGCATTTTCAATTCAAGACAATAACCAGTTGTATTTAAAACAGATATGATCAAATTCCTCATATCAAAGATATGACCTGATTTTCAAGGGGAAAAAATGTATATGTACAATTAAAGACATCTGATTTCATTGAATGATTCATTTATGATTCATTTTATCAAAACTTGGATTTCTGATAAACTTTGTCAGTTTTGATATGTTTTCCCAATCAGTCGAACAGACTAGGTAATGCTGCCTTTATTCTTAATCCTTTTGGTTATTATGAAAGACTTATTTGTGTTTTTCTTCTTGCAGGGAGACCGTGGTATAAAAGGAGACAAGGTACAGGCAGATATGGCATCTCATCATTTTCCAACGATATTCTGAATACAGTCAGTTCTGTAAGGCTCATAGCATGTGTTTTTCTGTAGGGTGGAAGAGGACACAAAGGCTACAAGGTGAGATATACTTTACTCTCTTATATTTGGCCTGGATATTTTTTTAAATCTACTGTCTTCATTCTAATAAATATTTCTTCCATCTGTCCCTCCTTATCAGGGAGGCAAAGGTGAAAGAGGGTTGGATGGAATCGATGGACGCAAGGTAAGAGCAGCACATCTGACAACATCTGACAGCAGTTCATCCGTTTTCTCGTTGTTTTAAAGGATGTATCTCACCACGTTTTTTTTTTTTATTCTCATCAGGGTGAACCGGGTTTCCCCGGCCTTCCTGGCTGTAAAGGTGCTCCTGGATCTGATGTGAGTTTCATTAATTGACCCTAGACTAATTAAGTAGTTATTGTTTTCACCTCATTTGGATTTGTTTCACCAGACTGTTTCAATTTTAGCCAATTGGAAAAAGGGAATTTCCATCATATTCAGCCTTCTATGGGTGACAGCCATTAAATGTTTTGAAGTCTTTCATTAAACTAAGAAATCTAGAGAAAGAATGCAAACAATCACCTTCAGTATGACCTAATTATTAATAGCATCCACCAGCTGCCTGGCCTTTTATAGAAGACTAATGAGAAGTAAGCCTCCATTAAAGTAAAGCCAAAACTTTGCCATGAGCCATCAAGGGAACATAGCAAACATGTGGAAGCAGTTACCGTAATCAGATTAGAACAAAATGTAATTTTGTTGTAAAACACTAAGGGCCTGATCTTCAGAAGGTCTGTGCATTTTAGGCTTTCTGCCTTTGCAATTCAGCAGACAGCGCCTCCAAACCTCCCTTTGCATTTGTGAATTCATCAATATGCAGATCAGATTCTGACAAAACTGTGTAAATTCATAGGTAGAGGATATGCAAATGTCAATATTTACCAAGTGCAAATCTGGAACTTAACTGTGGCTGCAGTTTTTGCATCTTTTTGAAGTTTTTTTTTCTGAAAGTCAGATATAAACTGATAAGCCTTTTTTGTTTTTTTTTCTGTAATTGCTGCCACAAAGGAGACATTGGACAATTGAACAATGCCAGACAATGGAGATCTGTGAGCATGTAAACACATTAGAACAGTCAGAAATAACAATACTAGAATATTATTAATAAAGAAAAAATGTGTATGAAGATATGTAGGCACGGATTAATGAAGCCGGAAGCAATGCAATTACTTCCAATTAGACAATTAAACCAAAGCGATAAAATTAATGAATGAAATGAAATATTGTAGCCTGTTTATAAAGCTAAAAAAAAAAGTATAATGTCAAAACAGCCTGCAAAGAGAGAGGCATCCATTATTCTTCGCAAAAAGGATTTTTTCCCTTCCAATCCCTGAATAACATGATTTAGAACATTATCTGTCTTTTGTTACCATTTTCAACTTCCAGTAGAACATGCTAACTGCTCAGTTTAATTGATAAAACCTAATTGGTATATAAAAAAAAAAATTTAAAAACCTGTACGTGCATTTTATCTAACCTAGCACTGCAAGCTGAATTGTCGCGATATCTACGTTTTCAGTCTTACAATAAATCCATCTTAAAAGACTACCGCTAATATGTCCGTCTCCTAACAACTAGCCAGTTGGACCAATGACATGCCAGCAGTGTTTTTTGGGGCCGGGCATGTAGGAATGACAGTCCCAACTGTCATTCCTGGCGCACGCCTGAAACATGACGATCCCCCATGAGGCTATAACCCCCATGTGAAACATGGGGGTTATAGCCTCATGGTGAGGGAATGCTATTCTTCATTATCCCGTAACCATGATGCAAGATGGGAAATAGTTTAGATTAAAGCTCTATAAATATGCTCTCCATAGAATCAAACTAATCTTGATCTATTTAGGACAGAAAAGAGTTTTGCCGATGTGCAAAAGCTGGTAGAGAGATAATCCAAAAGACTTGCAGCTGTTATTAGAGTAAAGGTTGGTTCTACAAAGTATTCACTCTGACGGGCTGCCTCCAAATGCAAAAATCCACCCTTCTAATTGCTCATGTCAAATAATGATTCTGACATTTGCGGTTATGTGACAGAAGTTCAAGGGTTACGGAAACATTTGGGTGGCTAGATAGATGACTGTATACTCATGCTTTTTTTCAGTATTACCATAAGATTAAATAAAGTTAGAAACAATCATTACAACAGATATTTTAAAAATGCTGTTTTAATCATCTATTATTTTACTCAAGAGGTTTAAAGTAGTGTAAACACAAAAGACACTTAGGAAACTGATTTGTAAACAAGTCTACTCAAATCACTTCTGGATCTGCCTCGAAGCCGGAGCCTCTTTTTTCACAGATCAGCTATTTTCCAAAGTTTTGTGTCATGGTAACGTCCCTGTGTCTGCATCCCATAAGGCAGACAGACAGAGGCTCCTTGCCTCTTTAATCATGTCTTTGTTTACATTTTTGCTGTCAGACTGAATTAATGAAGCCAGGCAGTCTTGCTGTAAACAAAGTCGCACATGAGCTTATATGATCATCGAAGTACAGCAGACCGTTTTGGCTCTGGCTACCGCTTTCTACCTTCTACTAAAATCTGTTCTTATGCTTTGTTTCTCAAGGGCCTGAAGGGAGAGCCTGGACCGAAGGGTGACTCTGGTCCTTATGGAAGAAAAGGAGATAAGGTGAGATGACTCCTCAGCTATGGCTTTCTCAGGTTCCTCAGATTCTGGCAGAAACTTTTAAGATTCTGACTTTTTTTAGGGAGAACCAGGAAGAGCCGGCGAACCGGGAAGACCTGGAAACTATGGGCCTCCAGGACCTAAGGTAAGTCCATTGAAACATTGAAAGTTGAAAAGCAGACAGAGCTGCAGCTGTCACATACATCTAACTGTATGCTCTGTGACAGGGAGATCCGGGCTCTCGTGGACCTCCTGGGGACAGAGGAGATCGTGGTGATGATGTAGGTGACGTCACTTCTTCTTACTAACAATGTCACCTTCATGTTCCTTAAATTTGTCTTTTAATTTCCTGTATATCTGTGTTTTTCAGGGCCGACCCGGACCACCCGGACAAAATGGAGAAGGCGTTAGTAGAACTGATATCGACTTTGGTTTAGTGTGTTTGTATTCCAGAGAAGTGTGAGTTTGTGTTAATGTCTTTTAAAATCCCACACAGGGGAAAATCGGTGACAAGGGGGAGCCAGGTCCTCGAGGAAGGAGAGGCGGTAAAGGAGACCCTGTAAGTGATTCTGGCAGAGCTGAGGAGAGAATTGAATGATTTGCTTTCTTGGATTCCAGGCTGCGTTTCTGAAGAAATTCTGAGGAAAACCAGTTTGGCCACGAAGCTAAATCAACAAGAGCACTCACCCTAACTGAACTGATATTTATAAATCCCCCTCATCCAGTCCCATCGATACAACTTTCTACGTGAAAACTGGCTCTGTGTGTTTTATATGTAGGTCGCTTTTTCAAATGATTCTCTTTCCTGTCAGGGCGATCCGGGACCACGTGGAGAGCCAGGAAGGGAGGGCACAACCGGTGACAACGGAGAACCTGTAAGACACACATAATAGGCAAAAAACTTTCTTTGAATCATGTTTTGTTCCCACTTTTCATATAGTTTACTAATTCCCGTGGATATCTTAAAACTTGAGCATGAGCTTTTATATTTCCTGTAAAGTGAGAGCTCACAGGTTAGATGCCTTAGCAGAAGGAGCCTGGCTGTGGCGCCATGAGAGCTGCCCACTCCTCCCAATTCTAATTCTCAGCATTTACTCCTCTTTAATGCGTCATCACCACTCACTCTTTCCCCTCTGACTCAATTCTTCTCTCCACCTGCTTGAGCCAAACCCTGACTGGGGTTTTCTTAACGAGGCTGCAGGCAGGGTAATGAAAATAAGACGTAACATTTGCTGTGGTTAATTCTGTGATGTCCGAACTCTTCAATGGTCCTTTTGAGCGGGCCTCCTTTGCTGGTAGGAGCTCAGTACATACTTGGCAGCTACAGTCCATCTTCTTAAACAGATGGAACATCTGAGTAGCTAGCTCTCGCACTGTAAAACCTTAGCATGCCTTTAAGTATGTATCCACACTGATTCAGGACATCTCTGTTAGTATTGATGCCAATGACACCTTGCAGTTATTACTATTACTGGGAAAAGTCTATGCAAAGAAATACATTTTTATATGTCATCTTTTTTTCCACATAATAATTTGCTCCCCTTTTCATAATGTTTTTACAACTAGCTCCTGTCAGTAAGCAAGTCAGTCCTCTCCTCTAACATTTTGACAAGGTTGGAGGACACAGAGAGAGATCTTGAGATCTAAAGATCACCCAGAGTTCTGGGTTTAGCTCTCTGTCAGTCTACCGGTCACGTCCTCCAGGTTTTCATGCAAAGCCGTGCAATATTTTTAAGAGTTATAGACTTTTTCACAAAGTAGCCAGTGAAACATGAGAGGACTAGATCATTTCTTCTTGCTTGATAGTGGCGATGAAATATTTTCCGAACTATTCATGTTTTGTTTGGCTTCATTTCCACTCTTTTTAGTTTTTTTTAACCTTTTTAATATTTTTCAGTGGGGAAAAGAAACACTGTCAATTTCCAAATGTCTTCTGTAAGGTGGTCCTGGCCGAGACGGCAGCTTTTCCACTCCCAATTAAAAACACAGCAAGTTAAACAGCTGACCAAAAAAAACAGACTTAAATCTAAGGCAGAGTAGGGTTGTAGGGCAGAAAACAATTGATAAAGTTGGCATTTAATTGTTGTATCTAATGCCACTCTGTTCTTTAATAGTCAATCTGAAGACTTTTGTTCTTATCCCTCCCTGCTAACATCCTCAAAGTGACAGTTGGTGCTATTCTTCACATATATCCTGTATTTATGTTAAAATTTGTCGTCTGATTGTGCTGTAGTTCGTAGTTAGATTAGATGATAAGAACTCATCTGCTTTAGTTCAATAGCATCTTCTCTTGTTTTACTAATTTTAAAGAGTGACTAAGAGAAATATGATGATTTCACAGCGTATGGCTCCAGTTAAAGATAAGTTTCTATGTAAAATCATGACATAGTGAAAAATAAAGAACTTTCTTTTTTATGCCTTTATGTGCTGCTTAATTCAGAAGGATTCTTTACTTTTTTTTTACGTGGAAAAAAAAAGTATAAAACACATAGTCATCATTAAAATGTGCTATTTATGCTGATTGTTTCTGGCTTGTAATTGCACATAATTAACCTGTTTTTATTGGTGTAAAAACAGGTTCAAGTCACAGGTCACAAGTGTTTTAACTGCCTTTTTAACTGCTGTTTCCAGGGTGATCCAGGAAGAGCAGGCCCTCCTGGCTACAGGGGAGACGAAGGTGAAGCTGGACAAGAGGTATGTCACGTTCGTTATCAATTTCTGAAGGGTTCAATTCGGATTTTCTTCATTAGACTAAAAGCTGATTGATACTCAAAATCTGTTGTGTGTCACAGTGAATGCAAATATGCCCCCACCCCTTCCGCATACACTCTGGTGCACCGCTCTAAAATTGTAGGTGACCTCAGATAGGAGGCATCTGATTGGTCAAATTTAATGATGCTGCAGAGTCCTTGCAGACATATCGGTCCCCAAGCATTTCCTCTCATTTTCAAGCGCCGCCATCAGAAAATCTATTCAAGTCCATCAGCACTACTTATCACACTTCTTATCTCACACGTCAGGAAGTGAATCAGATGGCAGTTTCTGACTTTTAAGCGGCTGTAAATCTCTTCCACACTAGAACAACACAGTGCTGAGGATTTCATTCACTGAAGATTGCATTAACCTTTTTGCTAAATCTTTGCACAAACACTGTTATAGGTTTTCCTTTAGACACATTGACCTAGTGATAATAACTTTTGTGAGGAGATTTCAGGAACCACTCAAGGAGTTTAAATATATTTAACGTATATCTGTATTCCCAATGCATTCAGTCGCAAGACTGATTTAGAGTTAACTTGTTTTTAATCTTTGCTTTTATCACCCAGGGCCCCAAAGGACCAAAAGGAATCAAAGGAGCACCAGGAGACAGAGGCTCAATGGGAGATAGGGTGAGGAAGGGGGAGTCTGGGGCTGTTCCAGGGATTAAGGAGTGCCATCCATCATAGATCTTAACCGTTGTTGTTTTTCTGTATTTCAGGGAGAGCCTGGTCTTCCAGGGAATGGCACAAAAGGCTGTCAAGGCTTCCAAGTATAACTTTTCATTTGATTCTTTCATATCTTGTCTGTTGATTGAATGAGATATAGTAAACATTTCTGATTTGTATCTTTTTTTTAAAGGGTTATCCTGGTACCCGTGGAGACCCTGGTGAGCCGGTGGGTCATCTTTAAATTCACTTTTCAACCTAACCTTTAAACAATTACATATACTATCCCTCTCACATCAGATGTGATTCACACAGAAACCGCTTTCATGAAGAATCACATCATAAAGTGGTTAAATGAAGATGTTTGCTGAGTTTGAGCTGAAACATCTGAGTCCAGAGGCTCTTGCTTGAATTACTGCTGTGGAAAATTGGTTGTCATGCTAATTTTCCTGTAAGTGACCTCTGCACATTTGCTTTTTGACCTACAGGGTAGCAAGGGAACTCCCGGACCTAAAGGAGATGACGGAGAGCCTGGAGATCCAGGCAGAGATGTGAGTCTTCCTTATATTTATTTCCTTTGCTGGGTTTGTTTTACTCGCCCTGAATCTCGTTTTATCCTGTTGGAAGCTGTTGCTGACAGGACATGAGTCACGGTGTTTGTAAAAATATATCGTTGTTTTAATCCTCTTTTATCAGATGAGGTACAAAGATTTGCGTTTTCTTTTAATTTCCAGCTGGGTATCAGACTTTTGCTCATACTTAACATATTTCGTTTCAAACTTATTTTTGGCTTTCCCTCCTCTTGTCTCCACACTGCCCTCCTGTTCTGCAGCTGGAGATCCTTTTTCCAGAAAAACTAGACACTTTTTTTTTTCTGTGAATGTGTGTGCCATTAGCACTTTGAGCTGATGCAGCTGTGTATATGTCGTTGTCAAGGATACCAGGAAATGAGCGCAGGCTATGAAGAGGCTGCATTGCTGCCCGAGCGCAAGTGTGACTGAGTGTCAATGTGTGGGAATTATGCGTGTCCATGCAGCTAGCATACTTCAACGATTTAACCTCGTATTTGACCCAAGTGTGTTTACAGTAAAATTACTGCATTTCCAAGGCTCCACTTCTGTGAAATATAAACACCTTTACATGTTTGCATTTTGTCTTTGTTTACCACCAGTCATACAATATAAGTTTTAGATTTAGAGTGAGGTATCAGCTGAGCTTACGATGGATCGGATTTAATTTATGTCATAAGTTATCTCTTCATAGTTAATTTATCAGTTTTTCCTGTGAAAAGATAAAGACACCATATATCTCTTAGGCAAGGGTGTAAAACTAAGGTAATGAGTCTAGGTTCAATTCAATTCAGTTTACTTACATAGAGACAGCACATGTAATCTCAAGGCACTTTACAATTCAGCCAGATCATACAGTCAAATTGATTCAAAGTTGATTGCATCGACTCATTAATTCGAAGGCAATCCCTCACACTGAGCATGCTTCTAGTGACAGTGAGGACGTTTCCCAATTTATGAGAACGCGAGTACGGACTCGTGTTCTCGTCAATTCCGCTCTTGCCAAGAACACAGGAAAGTCGACAGTCTGGACTTTGCGATAACGGGAGCACGCAGCATAAATCTGGGTCAATTGGAAGAGAAGCGTACTAGTGACATCACCACGCGCTCAGCTCATCTAGAGCTGCATTTCACCTCCTGTTATTAATAGTCGCTAGATAATAAATTCTGACTTTTTTCATTTAGTGGGGGAATAATAATTAACACAGGCAGATAAACAAAAATCAAAAATGACCATTTTGCCTAATAAAAAATAAAAAAATCACCATCAGAGCCAGCGGTCCTACACACACGGCTATGCCGAGAGAGGGCTGCTATAGACGGGCTGCAGTTAGCCCTGGCTGCCGTTAGCTTTGGAGCGCCGCTGGTTGCCGCGGTCCTCTCAACTTCAGAAATCTTTTTTTCAATTAGGCATTAAATCGGTAAATGGACCATATAGTGACGCTTTAAAGTATAATATTTTTCGCCTCAAATGATCTTAAAACGTACTTTCATTGAACAACAACAACAGAAAAGAGAACTTTTAACATTCAATGGAGCGCTCCATTGAAAGCTGCTGCTGCCGCAGTGCATGCTGGGACAGCTGTCAATCTCAAGAACGGACAAGTCTGCTCTGATGCATACTCAATAAAGAGGGCGGGGCGAGAACAACATCCGAGGATTTGGTGCGTTCTCGGTCTGGAGTTCTCTGCAATTGGAACAGTTCTCGGGCTGAGGCTGATGACGTATCACATGCACACGAGAACGCTCAAGAACGCATACTGAGAAACGGCCGTTGTTTCTTAGGGTGGCTCTGGTGTCAAAACCAGCCATCTTTCTTTTTACATTTCCATTTAAGGTACCTAGATTTCATTGCAGTTCCCCACTTTGAACAAAAGATGCGCAACAGAGAAAACCAGACTCTGTTATAACTAGCCTAAGAAGAATCCAAAAGAATTCATCTTCTTAGCTTACTCCTGTAGCTCATATTGATTTCAGCGATGATTTTTAGCAGTCCGACAAGTTTCATATATGTAAAATAAAGGTCTGCTGTGGGGAAATAATAGATAAAACAACTTATAGCTTTATTCTGGTTAAAAGATTTGCTTATTTAGCATTTTATCAACATCATCACCATGGCTGAAGAAAAGACAACCTAAAAAGTACAGGAGTGTATCACTATTTGCTGAAAGATGGAAACAACCTTGTGTAATTCAAAGCAAAACTAGAGGAAAAACTAAGGACTTTGTTGGACCAGAAGTGGCAGACCTAGCTTAGACATAGCACAATGCAAGCAAATTTATGTGAATGGAAATGATTTATTTATTCTCGCAGAGATCAATTTACTCGTTACATCGGCTCAATAGTCAAAAAGAAGAAGTTACCAAAAGGAGGAAAAGGTTATATATATATAACAGCTGAAGTCTCTTATTTAGCAGGATTACTATACAGGGTTACTGCACTGTCTATTAAATAGTAATTGCACATTAGATATTGCTCAAATTATTACCATGTCGCATTGTATACTTGCGCTCCTTTTTGCAAACAGTGTGTAAAAGTCTTTAACCAAAGGAGCTGCTGAGCTCCTCTACAGTGTGGTGCAAAGGGTAGAAGGTGTTGTCCATGGTGGATGTAAGCTGGGACAGCACCCTCCTCTCAGCCACTTCCTCCACTTAGTCCAGTGCACAGCCTAGGACAGAAGCGGCCTTTCTCACCAGTTTGTCCAGTCTCATTCTGTCCCACTCTGCGCTGCCAGGGGCCCAGCAGACGACAGCGTAGAGGAAGTCTGATGCCCCCACAGAGTAATAGAAGGTTTTAACCTGGGGCCTCACTCCAAACGACCTTAGTCTCCTAAGGAGATGGAGGTAGCTCTGGCCCTTCTTGTACAGTGAAAAAAAGCAAACCAATTTTCAGAAACTCAAACAGATAACTGGCAACTATGGCCAACAGTTTGTTTTAAAACAGTTAAGATCTAAAATAAATGCAATGATAAAAAGTGGAGGATCTTAACAGAAGTGTAGCATTGTAAAAGCTAGGGGGGAAGAAAGCTGGGAGGAAGAAAGCTGCAACAAAAAAGGCTGAAAGGAAGAAAACTAAGAGGAGAGGAAGAAAGCTGATGGGAAGTCGGGTGGTTTTGATTTCAATGTTGATGGTTGACTTGGTAGAGGCTGCAAATTAAATGACTCATTGACTCTTCTCACCATCCTCTTTGGGGCTCTTTTGTTCAAGGAAGAACTCATACAAATACACCAACTTCACAAGAATAGTAAAACACTTTCAGTGTGGAATTCACATAGTTATAACCTCTGATGCTTCATCTGTCAAGCTGATTACCAATAACTAAACCAGTTCCTGGCTGATTCTGATCCACGGTTTTCAACGTAGTGTTTAGAGTTAATAACAGTATGTTTGCTTCAGTTAGGCTGCTTGCTTTGTGAAAATCGCTAAGCCTGTCTTCTGGCCCCAAATCTTCTCTTTTGATTTGTTTCATCACTTTTTGCTTGCTCGGTGCTCAGTGCACACCCCGCGTTGTTGGAAGAAGTTTTCTCTTAGCTAACAGAATTCTAAGGAAGGCCTCTGTTTTGGATCAGGAACAACCCCACACATGGATCATATCAGGGTTTCCATAGAAAAGGACATTTTCGTCTCCTCACAGCAAGACAGCAAGACAGACACAATCAGCAAGACAGTCTATCAGATAGAAAAACGCATCCTTTTTCTTCCTGCAGAGTTTTAGTTGACCTTTGATGCTTTTTTTTTTCTTAACAGAAGTGACTTCTTTGATGTGCTTCCGTCCTAAAGGCCCCAGTTGAATACCTTTCTTTAAAGTTTAAAGTTAGCTGCTGCTGCAATGAAAATTTAACAGCAAAAAGTAAAACTTTAGATTTTATACAAGCAAATGTTATTTTGTTGTAGTTAGCTGCAGTTTTTGCCATTTAGTTTCCTGCTTGAAGGGGTTTATCTATTTTCAATTTTTCAGAATTTTTCAGAAAAGCATTATTGCTCTTTCACTAATACTTAGATATTCAACCACAGATAAAATGTAATCACAGTGATGATGAATAAATCCCCTTTTTTCTTATTTCTACTGCCTGAGCTTTCTTGTTCAGACTAATTGTGTTCTAAGTAAAGGCAGTTTTTCATCATTTTCAAAGAAAAAAAAACACAAATAATTACAATACTTTCAAATTTTTCTTTTTCCCAGAGCCACTCCACCATTTTAAAGGTTTACTACTGCAATGAAGAAACACAAGATTTACTGATTGCTCACTTCTACCTCTGCTCCCTGCAGAAGTATCCCACCCTACGCTCTGTGATGTTGTAACGACAAACTTCAACATTTTCATTGGGATTTTCTGATAGTCAAAAAAATGAAAAAATGTCTAATTGTGTTTCAATAGTCACCTGATTATTAATTGCAGACAGCTTGGGGATAGAGCAGGAGTGGGTTAAAAAATAATAGCCCAGCTGTTGGGAACTTTGCACTGTGAGCAATTCACAAAATACTGACTGTTATTGGAGAGCAGGTCAAGAGGCTATTAGTAGCTCTGGAGGAGCTGCAGAGTAGGACAATCTGTCAGCAGGACAAAGGTTGGTCAATCACTCTTCAACACTGACCCTTATGAGAGAGTGGGTAGAAGAATGTCATTGATGTGATGGTGGTGATAGCATCATGCTTTGGAGGTGTTTGACTCCAGCAGGGACAGAAAGCTGTTCTGCGTTGATGGTAGGGTCGAAGCTAAGCACATAGTAATGCTAGAGGACAAGGTGTTTCGGAGGCCAGGGATCCGTTTCACGAAGCAGGTTTACCTGGGAAACTCTGACTTTTCTGGTTCACAAAGAGATTTTCCTCAACCTCTGTTTGAGTCACCGTAGTAACATTCTCCCCAGACCTTACCTGGTCAGTAGAAGGTTTTCTTCAGTAAACTCGGAGTGTCCTCTGTATCCGCTCTCCTTACTGCCAATCACATTCTTTTATTTCCTGATTTAGTTCAATTTTGTCGTAGATTTGTGCATAAAAAAAAAGTAATTCACTAGGTCAATTAGACACATTGAGTTTTAAAAACAAACATTGCATGTGTGTTTGACGAGGATCTTATTAAAGAATGATCTGCAATTTTTCACAGAGAATTAAATATTTATTGGCTGAGGATTCTGCAACTCAGCTGACAGGGCATAAGATTACTTGTTTTTGGTTTGTTTAATATCAGCCAGATGTGGATCATTTTATTTTTATTTGGTTATATTTGCAGTACATGAGGAACTACTGAAATTATTATCAGATTACACATAGATTCATTAATTCCACAGGGGAAAAGGAATTACTTTAGGGTTAGGTTTAGCAATCACTCGATGATAACAACCAAATGAGCCTACTGGCACAATCTGAAGCCATTCTATGGGACTGATAGCCGTTTATAATGGCCATTTGTCTGCAAACAGCCACTTTACTATGTAAAAGAAGACTGAATCAACATGAGATGATCCACAGGTTCTATATATTAGAACAATTTAGAGACTTTATTTTCACCTGCTTCCAGAAGATTTCACCTAAATAGATACATTGATCTACTAACATTCAAGAAAAATCCCGTAATATTAAACCTATGGCAAGCCGTGTTGATATGTACTAGCTTTACTGAAGTATTGATTAGTGATCTAAAAATGGAACAACAGAGAGGCGTGCTTTAATAAATGTAAAAACGGCCTGCCATAGGCCCACTTCATATAAAGTTACGAATTAACTCGAGCAACATTCTTCTCCTTCGCCACCTTCCTCTCCTTTGTAGCTGTAGCTCTGTTTCTGTCTTTTAAACACGTTCTCCTTTGTTATTTTATTTTTTTGCATTTCTGCCTTAAAATCTCTAGTTCCAATGGGGTGAAATAGCTACTTCCTCTTACCTGTTGTCATGGTGACTCGTCGAATCGGTGCTCCAATGATAATGGCTTTTCATACTTGTTGCGCACGCGTTTAACTCTGAGGGGACCTAGTTAAAATTGACTGAACTAATTGATAGCAGCCATTGTGAGACCAAACACTCAGAGTTTCTGACTTTAGGCTAGATCAATTTAAATTTGCGGATTTGAATCAGAATTTCTTTAACCTGCTTCATGAAACGGACCCCAGGAAGAAACCGAAACGGGTGAGAGGGCAACTACAACAACAATCTGAACAGTTTGGATCAAACCCTATTACGTATTTAATGGTTGATCTCTGACTAAATTTGGAAGCTAATCCTCTACATGCGATCTGATTAATGGGCTGACATGTTCATCTGTAGATGTACAAAGCTGATGATAGATAACTGTTAGGACTGGATAGACGTTCTTTGAAGTATTGGCTAAGAGCAGGTGGACTCAAATATGGCCAAATGTTCTTTTTTTTATCAGTAAACCATTGATATTTTTTTATTCCAAATGACGATGGTACTCTCGCTTTTGTTTGTTTCTCAAAGTGAAAAGACAAACCAAAAGGTGTGGATATTTTTTACAAATCTGACTGCAGATTAAAGAGCGGAGTGCGTTTAGTTCTGGTATCCAGCTGTGAATGTAACTCATGCAGATCAAAGTCGAACAAGCAGCCGATCATCTGGCTGTCAGTCAGCAAGCAAGACGCCATGAAAATCTAGGACAGGGAGTTGTGTTTGTGACTGTGGATGATGCAGCCCATGTTCTGCAGATCACCGCCTTTTGAAGTTTGCATTGACCGACTCTACAAAGGGCACCTAGCATGTGTGTCTTCCCACTAAAATCTGACGTCTGTGTGAAGGAGTGTGTGTGTGTATTCAAAGCCAGGTGGTTGTCATTACCATCTCCGTCTCTTCATTCCCATATCTGTCTGCTGTGGTTCATGGCTCTGTTGTAGAGGAACAGACCCTGCTCTTTTGGGTCAAATTTCAGCACGGATCAAAGAGCAGAAAGGATTTATGGGACTTCCCAGGAATGGAGCTGGGGTATTTCGTTAATTTGATGATTTTTTTTGTGCATAGAGTCAGATTTCTGCTTCCACAGAATCTCAGTATCAAGGGGCTTCATTCAAATTAATGCAAAGTTAACCTTTTAAAGAATATGCTCTCCTTAGAAGGGGGTAAGTTGTCTTAACTCTGCAGATGTTTGAAGATTTGGAAGCCATTTTAAATTCCACTTGGCTATCTGCTCTCAATTAGCAGTTGTGCCTCACGGCGCAAAGCTCAGCTGCCCCCTGCTTCCTTCCCAAAACCAAAAAGCCAACATGTCTTTAATGTGCAACATGCTACATATTGTAAGATAGAACTAAAATATGGATTTTTATTCTTTCTTTGATTTGGAGCTTTTTGTTCTGGTTGCAGTCTAGCACAAAAAACCCCCCCAAAAATGTGGAAAACATTGAACATTACTTGCTGATCAGAGAGCAGCAGCTGCAGATGCCTCGACAACTCTGCCTGCAGCTGTTCCATGTGAAATGGATTTATAGCTCCCATAATTGCAGAATTTATTGAAAATTGTATTATTTTGTATTATAATCTTCTTGTGAACCTTTTTAAACAAATGTTTTGGACAGCCTGACCGACCAAAGCCTTGTTGAGTTGGTTCCACTTAATGGTTAAGCAGCCAAATTAGTCTATTATTCAACAAGTGGGTCTTTATACTGCTGATCTGCTTTTCTCATTACAGTGCCTTGCAAAAAGTGAATACCATCGTAAATATGGTTCCACATATTGTCATGTTCCAACCAAATATCTTATTGTATTTTAAATAGATTTGATGTTGTAACGCAACTCCAGCCAGCATATACTTGTAAAGGAAAACGAAAATTACATGTTTTATTCATTTATTTAATCTTACTAATAAAACCATCAAACAAGTTGCTTAAAAAGTCACACAATCTGTATTTAACCCAGACCTGCATGGTAGATCTGGTGAAGCTGCAAAGATCCAGAGCTTGGAAGAAACAGTTGACAAGACAAATATTAGATATAGATTCTAAAACAGTGGCAAATAAGAGCCACTGTTGGACGATAGGATAGACAGAGGTGTCAGTCACATTTTGTCACAATCCATGCAGATGACAATTAAAATTTGCATATGGTGATAAAGAGCACTTCCTTGAGTACACTGTGGTGTTGGCTGCATCATGCTTTGGGGTAGAGGCAGGGAAGTTGATGGAAAGATGTTTGGAAGTGAATACAGGACAATGCTGAAAAAACCCTGATACAAAGGACTTGAGACTGTGGATGGGGATTCATCCCCATTACCCCCAACATAGAGCCAGAGTTCATTTAGAATCTGGGACCAAAAATGGATTAAAAATGCTTTACAGTCTTTGCTGACAGCGGTTTAGGTATTATGTATAAAACATAAGGTGGAATATTCATTTTTTGTCGTGGTTGTTAGGTGCAAAAATGGGCAAAAAAAAGACACTATATTTGTGAAAAGCATGATGTCTCATTGGGTCTCTCTTCTCTATGAGCATATTTTCTTAGCACCCATGAAAATATGTGTTTCAACAAATGCTCTCCAGATTGGATCCAGTTTTCCCAAATAAAATCATAGCAGAATACTCTTTAAACCCAAGTGTAATACATGTCCATGCTTTCGACAGAAGCTCTACAGTGTTAAGGCTGCAACAAGCAGTACTTTCATTTACCAGAGGATAACAATGATCGCATTTTATCTTCTGCTAAAGAAAAAGGATATCTATAGAAAACTCACTTTTCACATTGCTGCAGATTGTGGCTGTTTTTTGTTTTTTTTGTTTGTTTTTTTTTAAGCAGCAGTCCATAACAAAGCTACATTCACTGGAGAAAAAGATCTGTAGCAAACTTTCGTCTTGATTTTGGTTCTTTTTCTTGTTATAGAACAACGAGCCAGGACCTGCTGGAGACAAAGGGGCCAAAGGTCACCGTGGACGAGAGGGCGACCCGGTAAGATTATCCGGAATATTGATCTGTGTGTCTGAGTCTTTCAAATAAGTTTTTTATAAGATGAGACACAGAAATCAAATAAGTTTCTAACAGACTTTATAAGTAGAACAAACAAAAATGAAATGTAAATCACTTATATCATAACCTAAAAACCACTGTTCTGCCTGCTGTCCTCTGGGAAGACGCTTTGCAGCATCCGCTGCAGATCCAGCAGATTCTTCAACAGCTTTTTCCCCACTCCCATCTGACAGCTGAACATTAAAAAAAAAACTCTAAATCAAGTCACAGACTCTGCATCACACTGATAACACCAAACTCTACAAATACTGCATATTTGCACCATATATATCTGTCTTGAAATGCTCTGAACTTCCATATCGATACGTTTTTGCACCATGTTTTTTTCTCCCACTCTGTATACATTTGATCACTGCTGCATTTTATGAAATGGAAAGGTTCATTTTACTGCTTAGCTGCTGCTCATTTACTGTCGAAAAAAAGAAATTCTGTTTTGTATACACTGTACACCCACAATTGTATACATTTGTGTGTCCAAATGACAATAAAAGTTGTCTAAGTCATCCTCTTTAACAAAACCTAGCATTTTGAAATAAGCTATTTGATGAGATTTTGAACTGTGCTAACTGCATAAATCTAGTACAAGAGATGATCTTTGGATGTACAGGCCACACAAGTAAAAGTTTTTAAAAAAGCTCAAACTGCTGAAAATTACGTAAATTCATGTTTTTTGTTTCCCCAGTAGAAATTGCAAGTAAGTCCCAATATGAACTACTACATGTTCGCTTATTTCCTCTAAAACTAGGCATATCAATGTCACTGTTTATCAGAGCATGTTAGTTGCATAATTTTATAGCAGTGGCATGACCCTTCCCCATTTCATCCTTTTCTTTGCCCAGCAGATTATTTTTTACTCTTGCACTTAACCAAACCACTGCACATAGGCATGCTGCTCTTTACAAATTAAGAGCAATAACTTTTCTGTAGGTTATAATCTAATTCAGAAAAGCTAAAGATTGACTTCTGCCCTTTTTATTCATTGATGCAATACTAAAACCATTTGGGTTGATTGAAATGTCAAACATGACAGATTATGATCACCAATCAACCTGAAGAATGCTCCTTGAAAAAATTATTTATTGAATTTGCAAGGAAAGATTTTAACTAGACCATCAGAAGATTTTAAAAATCATCTTTTCGCGAATGTTTTGATTTAACTAATGAATTGAGGCACAGTTAAACCTCCTGGTAGGCACCTGTTGGTACAAAGCAACTGAAACTGCTATTAACCATCATGTTTATTTTAAAATTATGTCTCGGTCATGTTCAGCATGCTTCCATAAAACAAAATTTTGATATGGCAAAAATCAGCATATTCTCCTTGACATTTCCTTGGTCCTCAAGAGCTAATATCTCTTTTTGAATTATATTCGGGTTTACACCTTTTAAAACATTCAACTTGCAAAAAAGACCAACCTTTGTTTTTTTGGTGAAGATCAGACATAAAAGCTTCATCGTATCATATGTCTTTCCTTAGAGCCCTCATACCAAAATGTTAGAGCTCTCCTCCGTCAAAATATGGAGGTATATACGGTATTTCCTTTTATATGTTTTTTTATTTGAAAGCAGAATTTCTTACTTTTTGTTCTGCTCTTTTACAAACATCTATTATCACCATTAAAAAATATCCTGCAGGCTTGAAAAAATGCTCTGCTCTCTCTTCGAACTCTTCTTCTGTGCCTAAATGGACTGCATCTTGCACAAACATTAACTCCTTACATCCTTCTGCAGGTGCGTCAGTTAAATCGGCTCTCCTACATCGGTCTCCATTCTGTTGCTCTCTATCAATCAAAAGTGTTAACCCAGTCTACACAGGAACTGTTGACATATTAGTTCAACTCATGGAGAGTTAAAATTCAAAACTTTTTAGGTGTCTACATTGTTCCACACTAGATCTAGTTAAAATAAGCCACGTTAAAATAGTCTTAAACAGTCAACAGTGAGTTGGAACATCTCCCTGAATAGTCCTAATTCAACACCTATCAGGGTTGAATTTATTAAACACTAGTTAGTGTCAAAAGTTATCACTGTGAAATAGTGCTAATCATTTATCTATATATTCTAAGCTACATTGTAAATTAACTTAGACCGTGGAGCTACTGTTCACCATCACAATGCTGTATGGTGTGAATTCCTGAGTATTTACTCATCCTAAATTACAAGCAGGGTTATAATTATGGATTATTTAGGGTGTGTCCATATACCATGACTCTTTGTTGCCCAATGAATTTGCTGCATGTCATGTGAGACTCTAAAATAGCACTCTACAAGCCAAAGGGGATGTCAGTGGATATAAACCCAATTTTAAGAAATGTGGATTCCCACGGCCTCAATGAATGACCTATGATGCACTCCACCCTACGCACATGAACGTTCTACTTTCCAACTGAGAAACCATGAGCTAATCTCACTTAAAATAAAGACAACATCTCAGTCCGGCCAAGAAAATGTGAATATCTTTTTTTTCTGTCTGTCTTAAAAAGGGGATGCCAAAGTTCCCAACTACAGCTTGTATGGGGCTGTCAAATAGTGTATGCTCCATTACAGATTTATTATTTTATTTTTGTCACAATTAAATGTTTCAGATCATCAATTGAATACAATTCAGTTTATTTATGTAGCGCCAATTCACAACACACGTTATTTCATGGCATATTACAATTCAACCAGATCATTCATTCAAATTGATTCAAAGTTTTCTAAGGAAAACCAACTGATCGCCTCGACTTATTGAATGGAAAACCGTCATACCAAGCATGCTTGTAGCGACAGTGGAGAGGAAAAACTCCCTTTTAACAGGAAGAAACATCCAGCAAAACCAGGCTCAGTGTGAACTTTGATCAAACAAGTTTTTAGCATCAGAGAAGCATAACTATTGCTCCCAGAAACTGTTGATAGGTGCTTGCAATAACTAACGGTAGGTACCTTAGTATCTTATTTGATATTTTTAAAGCATTCAGAAGTGGAACTGTTCCACTTTCATCAAAGCCTTGAGGTCCCCTAAGTAACAAAGTGACCCCATACTGGATTATCTCCACCATGCTATATTCATGTTTTGGTGTTTTTATGTTTTGTTTTTCTCTGTAAAGCTGTTGTTGGTCTTACACCAGATCTAACGGGATACACATCTTACCTAAAATTTAATTTTTATCTTGTCCCTGCACAGGTCAGCATTGGTTTTGACATTTGAGCTCTCCAATAGACGCCATTTTTGCTTTGTAGTTTTATTAATTAAAGTTACATTTCTGAATAGACCCACCCTCTCCACTTAAATGCACATGCACAACCCTGTAACCGCTCAAGAAAGGGAACACCTATTAAATGTGTGCAAGAGCATGCATAAACCCATTTCTCCTCGTGCACGCTCTGTTTAAAAGTTGCTGTTTGCATTGCTCATACAAACTTACTTTTCAAAGGAAGATTTGTAATTTTTCAACTATGTCAGACTCACCACTGGTGAGGTAGGTGAAAATGGGGATGAGCACGTAGGACGGCCTTACGTAAACATATCACCAGAATGATTGACAATTAGGAGGATCACTTATTTTGATGATCCACCCAGAAAAAGAACTTCCTTCACTATATCTTTAAATAATGAAGGCTCAGCTAAAATGAGACCAGTGACTCTACAGGGTTTTGTATGCTGCTCCCTAATGTTAACTGGAATACCAGAGTCATGAAAGTGACTTTGTTAAATGTATTTAAGACTGATAGATGTCAAAAATGTAATCTGTTCTTAGATTTATCTCACTGAAAGCAACATATGTTACTTATTTAATATCTTTTAGCCTACTTCATGTTGTCAGACATTTCCTATCTAGGTGATATATCTAGCCCTGGAGACATATGGTATCAATGAACCAAATAATTAAGTTAATTACTTTCAGAAAATGTTTTATTGCCAAGTACTGTTTTTAAACAAATTAGGATTATGTTTTGGTGATGAGGTTTTACACATAGACAAACAAACATAAAGCTGATATAAATAAATATAGGAATGATAATTATATTTTTTGCATTTACAACTGCATTTATTTGTGTTTGTATGATATTTAAAACAAAGGTAAAAACAGAAAAAAAAAGGTTTTCATATGAATGTTGAACTTTATCATCTAAAACAGGCTTCCCCATGCAGGTTTCAGAGGTTTCCTTGCTAGGCTGATTTTAAATGAAAGCTGATTAGCAGGCTTTTGCATAACTCTAAAGCAGGGAAAACAACTAAAGCAGGGAAACCTCTAAAACCTGCAGGACAGCGGCCCTCTAGGACCGACTTTGGGGATGCCTGATCCAAAATATCTGTCACGCAACTCATAACTGCCACTTACCGGTACATTCTTCCCTACCCCTTTTCTCCATCTCTTAACTTTAGAATCATACTTCATTCTTTCTTATGAAGAGGTTACGTCACATGTCCTTGGGAAGGTTTCTCTCCTCTCCCTTTAGAAAAAGAATCATCCCTGTCTTGTGCTCTGTCTTTCTCACCCTCTTGTGTATTGTGTGTTTGTTCGTGCGTGCTACGCCGCCCTCTTTGTTTCGTAAAAGAATGCTATTAAACAGAGTTTTAATAGCTGCTAAAGCAAAACACATGAGTTCTCCTGCAGCTGAGTGAAAAATAAGCTGTGGTCATAAACTTTTGGCAGTTTCAAAGGTTGTTGCAGAGCCAAAGCGACCCAAACAAATGCGCTGGTGTAAATGTGGGTTCAGTTATTGTGGGAATCTGGTTCAAATTCGCAGGGGTAATGGTTTTCCGAAGAAACCTCTAAAAAAAAGCATTTTTTTTTTACAAAACTTGCTCTGTCACCCAGGTCGAAAAGGACGTATTATATCAAACAGATAAACACAGACATCTATCAGGGGGTATCTCTATAATTTTTCCTTGCACTGATTTATTATTATTTTGTCTTTTTCAGGGTCCTCCTGGGCCGCCTGGACCACCAGGAACTGATGTAACTATTAAAAAAAGATGAAATTTTATACTTATTCTGGTCATTTGAACAGACTTCAGGGGAGCAGCCAGTTAATTCCTCCTTGAGCCTGTGCTGCTTTTGAATCTGAAATTAAATGTTCAGGCCAAGCTCCACATTTAATTTCCTAAACTATGAAACCTAGAAGTCACACACCTCTCAGTAAAACAGCACTATCTTCATGATCTGTTTTTCTTCCTGAGTAGTTTAAAACTCTCTTGGATTTGCCTGCGCTTTGAATTTCAATGTTATGTGACGTGATACAGCCATGGACTGCCATACAGTAACCCATACTCCACCTCTCCACACAGGAATGTGAAATTCTGGATATCGTCATGAGGCTCTGCTGTAAGTTAAAGGCTCAGCTTCCATGCGCCTTCGTCTCATGTTATCTTCTGTTTTATTTTTTTTACTTCAGAAGTGATTAACTTTTTTGTTTTGCTTTTTATCCACTTCCAATTACTTCATAGCTTGTTGTGGTAAGTTTAGAGTTTTTACATCATATCTTGTTCTCTGTTGGCACTTTATAATTGTTTTATTTTATTTTATGTATGTGTCTACTTTTTCTTTTCAGAGTGCAGGTGTGCTCCAGTGGACCTGGCATTTGTTGTGGACAGCTCCGAGAGTATTGGTGCAACAAACTTTGCACTTGCTAAAGACTTCATCATTGCTGTTATTGACAGACTGATTAAAGACCATCATGTCAAGGTAACAACATTTTGAAATCATTCTGTTATGACCAAAAATGGATTCTGAAATATGTGAAACATACTGAACTCAGACTTACGTCTTAAAGACTATAGATTTTACTTCCAGTGGTTCTTAAGAAGCAGGACCGCAGGTGAAACCACTAATTGTAGATGGATTCAGTAAATAATTAATGTTTCCTTTCTTGGTTACCTTTGTATAAATTAATGACTTGTTGTTATGATATCACTGCAGACAGTACATATGAGATCTTTGCAATGTTGCCGGTAAAATTAATCAATGACAGTGGAGGAGTGTAAACAATCATCGACAGGTGTTAAGCTACATAGGATTTAGAATAGTACAATTCAAGGTAGCTGCATTATGTAGTCATTTTTATTTTATTCATGATATTTTCTTTTCATTCCTTTTGTGGTTCGAAGTTTCTTTTGGGGAATTTTTTTCTCTTCTGGTGTTGGTTGCTGTGCAGATGGAAGGATTCTGGCTGTTATCTTTTAATTTTAGGTAAATTGGCATGATGGATAGCAACCAGTTGGTACCTGATTAACATTTCAAGAGCTAAAATAGCACTTTAAATACATCCCCGAGTTCCAGATGAGTCAAAAAGGAGGTGCGGATGATGCAGAGATGAGCACAGAGAAGAGGGAGGAAGAAATTCAAGCAATCTCCTCACTTAATCATTAGGGACCAAGTTATACTTGAGTAACAGGCTGGATGAACTTTAAGTCCAAGCAGGGACACTCAAGCATATTAATAATGCAGTGTTATGAGCTTTTACTGAAACACATGAAACAACAGACTGGACTAGAAACAAAAATGTGAAAGCATCTACAAGAAAGGACAGAGTAGACTAATATTTTTTTAGGAAGCTTAAGTTCTGATATGAAGATGCTGATGAAGATTCTCAGTCATCCAGGTCATTTGAATTGAGAAAGCTTCATGGAGGGGAAGCGAAACATCTTCAAACCTTGGAAACCAAGTCCAGTGGATTGTTTTTAAACTTTTACAGATTCTGGTATGAAGAGCGTGATATCTTCTTTTGTTGAGGTTGGAGAATAAGACTAATTGACTTTTGGAAGCTGAACAAGCTTATAAAGGTCAGCTCTGTACTGGGGATTTCTATAGAATGAGAGGGATTCTTCAGAAAATAAATACCATTACACACATTACACAAAAATAAGTGTCTTTTCTTAGTGGTCTCTCCAGATCCACATTTGAAGCGTAGTATAATATACGACTGCAGCCACTAAAGCAACTTGTTTAAGGAGCCTATATAGTATGAGTTATAAAAAATAATGTATTCACTGGTTAATAAAGCATTATTTTATAGAATTTAACTGAATTACCTTAAAAAAAACATTTCAGTGACAACTCTTCTGTTTGAAGAACTTTCTATTTGGTTAAATCAGAGGTTTCACATTATAATGTGTAACCCTTTTCTGATACTTTACTTTAAATTACATTCATATTTTTAGTGGAGCTGAAAATAATGTCTAAATCATTTTCAAAATAAAGTGCAAAAACTGAATATCTACTTTTATTTACCTGTGGACATCATTTATTTAGCCTAGTCTTTAGAGACATGAGCTTTAATAACACCTCAACCTGCACCTCAAATATTCACGAGTTCAGTTGGATTGTAACTTAAGTAATTCGAGACTCCACTTATGTCCTTTTGACCAACTGCAAACCTGACTTGGACTTGCTACAAATAGACAGAAGAATTAACTTGGAAAATGATCAAAGACTTTATATGTGACTTAAATTTTCTCCTCGGGGACTTTGCTTTCCCCTTCAAAGAATTAGACATAGAAGTTAAAAGTTTAAGATTTGATTTTAGGTGGAAGATTTGAATTTGAATTGCAGGGAAAGACTCATATCTTTACTTTAACTTGTCCCTCTGAGACTTAATTTAGATCTAATTTAGATTTCCTTCTCAAAGGCTTGGTCTTACCTTTCACAGACTTCAGCTGGATTTTTTTCTTTGAGTTTTACTTGAATTTTCAAAGAAAAATTTGTCTTTCAAAGAGTTTAAATTTAAGTTGGAAAATGATTTGAACATTTCTGGCTTTGACACACATAACAGCATTGTTTTCATATTTTTGTATTTATGACATGCCTCTGTGGGATGCCTGGTATCTGACCTTTGGGAAGTGTGTTGTTTATATAAACCTCTTCTACTACTGTTCTTCTGGGGTTTTACAAAACTGCTCCTATGAGGTCAAATGCTTAGAATAGAACACGGGAATGAAACATATTGTCTTCTGTTTTTTGGAAGCACACTTTTATGTCTTTCCAATGACTCTCCTCTTCCAGTTTGGATGTAATTAGTCAGGATGGGTGTGGCGCTGAAATGTTGACAGAGCAAAATGAGCGCTTGCAGACACTGCACACACAGACCAGACCAAAACGTGCATTAACACTTCAGTGTTTTTCTTTCCAGTTCTCATCCAACCATTCCACCCTCAGCGTCGTCCAGTACAGTGGATCCAAAGCCCAAGAATATGTGATCTTAGGCTCTAGCCTCACCGAGTTTAAAGAGTGAGTTTGCAAACAACAGGATGTTTTTATCACATGATCTGTGGTTTTCTGTTTGACTCTTTGGTTTCTGAGGGTTGCACTGTGTCTTTCCTCGTGTGAAAATAAGGCATTTTAGCATGCCCAACTATCTTTTTTTTCCTTTCTGATTGCAAGATCAGTTAAGGTCTAATGAACATTACTCCTAGCTGGCTCTGCCTCACAAAAAAATAGCAAACTCTTTCAAATTATATCAGAGGTATCCTTTATACATAGCAATATGTAAATCTACTTTCCTTAGGGAGAATAATGTTTCTCCTAATGGTATTTAAGCATAATTTCTTTGTTTTCTGTAATAGCTAGGAGACATTAATATCTTACGTTTGTTTTTTTTCAGTAGATTTAAATTCCTGATTATACTAGTAAAATGCTACAACTCCTAGAATAAATGCAAAAAATACTTGATATAAGATCTTAGGAACATGACGTTCAGTTGGTTACACTAAACATTTGGCATTTTTATTATAACCTGTTTCCATAATCCTCCGAACCAAGAAAAAGAATTACTTAGATGCAATGGTTAAATATGTAGACATAAATGGACTGTTTATGAGCACAAAGTGGAAGGAGACAGGAAAAAAATGCAATACCAGTTTATGATGGGGTAACTGACCGGGATAAGGGGCAACAAAGGATAAATAATTTAAAAAACTGCTGCCTTTTATATTGTACTTTCCAACAAAAACAAGAAAGCAAAAGCAGGTTGTGATGTCATCTATTGGCTGTGAGTAAGGATAGAAAAATATAAAAAGAGACGGAACAAGAATCTAGTTTCAATTTATTTTTATTTTTTTTACCATAATATTTGCAATCTAGATGGGTATTATAAACATAAATGTCTGTTTAATAAAGAATCTTCTGTAGTGACAAAAAGCACTAAGATGTCATAAATTACAAACAAACACAACCACATTTTAAACTTATCCTTCCGAGTGTCATATAGTCTGCAAAAAATGCTAAATTAAAACACTTTCATTTTTGTCCAAAATTTAAAAGGCATTTTGACATACCTCTAAATTATAATAAGTGTGTACCACTGACATAGATATTTATTTGAAAAAAAATTGTTCTTTGTTTATGTAAGGAAATATTAGCATGCCAAATGGTTTATTTACAAAGCTTAAGGTATGCATTATTTTTTTAACCCTCTTTGATCCACTGACATTTCTTTAATGTATTTTAATCTTTAATGTATTCCGTTAAAATCATAACCTTCCTTGTTGCTTAAAATTGAATAAAAACATTAACATTTGGATAGATTGACTATTCTTTGTTGGATTTTAATCTTAAATTTCTTTGGGATTATGGGTTTTTATTTTTACAAGTCTTTGACATACCTTTTTAAATAAAATCCAGCAAATTGTGTACATTTGGTAAATTTTTTAGTGTCATTGTACATAATGTTGTAATTTGACATCCATTTTTTATTTCCTTGTATTGAGCTCTCTTTAAGGTGTCAGAAAAGATTGTCTATTGTTATTTTCCTTTTTGTGTATTACAGGCTACAATTTTTTTGGCAACTTTGCAAAAATAGACAATAGAAAAACTGTGTTATTTGGGAAATAAAACAGATAAATGTGGGTGCCCAAATGTGACATTAAAGGAAATATTCTGATCATTCATAATTTTTAATTTCGCACAGGATGGAAGTTAGTGATGCATTTTTAAACAGTTGGGAAAATGTTAGTTGCAGTTCAGCCCAATATTTTTCATACCTGTTTTAATATGTTTCTGATAAATAAAATCGCATCAGTGTTTTTAGTGTGACGCAGACAAGGAGCTCTTTTGAATCTGATAAAGGGTGATGGCGCGAAACCTAAAAGTTTAATAGCCAAAAAACAAGATAAAACTGTTTAGCTATTGTAACAAATGGAGCGATTGGTAATGCCAACTAATGGTTTTGCATGGATTTGTGTGGAAGGTAGAAAAAAAATGTGGATTTGAAAATTAAAAAATAGGTGTAAGTTTTACATTTCGTTTTTTATATATATACTTTTGAGGGATGGCCATCTCATTTTGCATCAGTTACAGATTTAAATCTAAAACTACTAGGGATAGGTATAAATTTGGTAAAACTGTACATTGATCTTATGTTTATTTTACCATCTTTTTTATCATCTAGCATCTTTTACTGTCTAAGGAAACCCAAAATACACTTTTGTTAAATATTATAATCAGGTAGATGGCTTTCCTTAAATTCCTTTCTTTTCACGGACACAGATCTACTCTGTAAACAGAAATCTATAAAAGGTATAAATGAAAAAGGTTAAAAGGTTTGAAGGTTTTTAATCAATAGTCGCTCTCGTAAAAAAAAACTATCTTGTTAATGAATTTCCTTGTTGTAAATGTGCATCTTTCTGTGTTTTCAGGTCAGTAAGAAACTTGCGCTGGCTGGCAGAGGCCACCTATACAGGCGAGGCTCTTGGGTTCTCTCTGGATCAAACAATTAGTAAGATGAGGAAAGATAATAAAGTCGTTCTTGTTCTCACTGATGGACGCTCTGATACTACTAGAGACCCGGAGCCCCTCGATATTCTCTGCAATAAAGGCATTTTGGTGAGTTTGATTGCTCAGACATTTAACATATTTTTATTTTCAAAGGTTCTTGTGTGATAATATGTAGATTTATTGTCTCAATACCAGGTGGGCGGTTTAGGAATTAAGGACTATTCAGGCCGTCAACCAAGCTTTGAGCAAGTTCTACAACTGTCATGTTCGACTCAAGCCAAACCAGGATTTTCCTTTATCCTGGATAACTATGCTGAGCTGCTGGAGGATCAATTCTTGCAGAATCTCACAAATAAAATTTGTCAAGGTAACACTCAGCTAAACATTTGCAGTCACTTTTTTTACTTCCTGTGCTTGTAAATTCCCATTTAAATCTAATCGTGAAGACTTACTTTATCTCTTATGTTTTTCATTCCTGCAGAAAAGAAATGCCCAGACTACAAATGTCCAAGTAGGTTTTTTGTTTGTAATCATTTATTTATAATTCTTGGTTCATTCTACATTAAGTTTCTAGGCAATATTCTTGTTCTTACATAAAATTTGGGATTCCTTGAAATAGTTTAGTTGCAAATAAATGTAAAAAAAAAAGACAAAACGCAGCACTTTGCACATTTGCTGGCAGTAATATTCCGGCGATAGAAAAATAAAAAATTTATTGTTTTGCATTTTGTGTCATTGTAATCCCAAACTTTAACATAGTTATAGAGCTTTGATCCCAACAGATACATTCTTTTGGGTTACTTTTCCTAAGCAGGCACATGGAAGTTGGTAAAAAAAAAAAAATGATTAGAATATGAATTTAGCTAAATTTTGGGGAAGTCTGAAAGAAAATCTGTACAACACTTCAGCCTCAGGCATAGATTTAACAATTTTATGTACGCTTCAAGAGAGTAAAGATGGGAAAACCTGCAACATAGCTTAAAAGACTTGCATGTATAATTATTTTTATATTCTGTTTGACTTGAATACATCACATGTTTCAGATATTTGTTGGTAAAGTAGCAAAAAATTTCTTCCTATCTTTCAGCTTTTGTTTTACTTATTAAAAGTGATTGATCCACTGAAAACATCTTTATTGGAAATTATCTTTATTAATTTTTATTTTTCTTATTTTGCAGTCTCCTTCTCTCAGAGTACGGACATTTTGATAATGATGGACAGCTCAGCCAGTGTGGGCCAGAAGAACTTTGAGATAAGCAAGACCTTTGTCAAACGCATGGCGGAACGTTTCCTCACTGCCCAAGCACCTACTGGTGTCACAGTCAGAGTGGCTGTGGCTCAGTATAGCCAACGCAATCCACGTATGGAGCACACCTTTGAATCCAATTACACCCTACTGTTTCCTAGCATTGAGAGTGCCCAGTTCCAGAATGAGGGCACCAACTTGTTAGAGGCCTTGCAATTTGCCATTACGGCTCGTGTCCCACCGGGTGTACCTGCAGGTAAGAGGAAGCTGCTGTTGTTCTCTGACGGGAGGTCCCAAGGAGTCACCAGGGCCCTACTGGAAAGCAGAGTCAGAGAAGTGCTGAGCTCAGGCATCGAGATCTTTGTCATCTCAGCGGGAAGCCAGGTCAACAATGAAAATCTCAGCATTCTAGTGAACAAAGGACAACAAGACAACGGCTACGCTCAGCGCCATATGTTCCGTGTTGCTGACTACGAGTCTCTGCTTCGTGGAGTCTACTACCAAACCGTCACCCGCAAGGTCTCCTTGACCTAAGTGGGAACTAAAAGGACAATCATGTTTTACATTCTTAGACCCATTATGAATATTCAGTGTCATTCATTTACTGTACACAGGCTTCAATTATGTTTGGAAACAAGAAAAGTTAGAGTCACAAATGATTATTTGACAGATAAAAAATTTTTTTTTTTTACAGAAGGACACTTTTACTTTGAGTTCTTCCTCCTAGGTAGACCATTTTAGACTCTGTATACCACAACCCAATGAATCCTCTGAGACCCTGTGTGAAACTAAACTGAGGAGATACTCCAGCCTGGAGGTAGAACTCAAAGTAGAACGGTCAGAATTCAAAGGAGTGTAATTTGATCCTGGAGAGTCATCAGTGATAGCCATATTTTAAGGTATTTTTACTCTACATCCGGACTGGTTCCTCCTCAGGTACTCTGTACTATTGTATTCGACTTTATTTGTATTCGACCTGCATTTAACAAGCGAAGCATCAAAGAGACGAAACAAACCCTTTGCTTTGCTCTCCAGGACCAGATCTATGCCTGTTTATGGTTAAACATGGACTCATGTTTGAATGTGGTGCGTTACCATGATGCAAAATTAAAGGAGCAACCACAGCACTGGTAGGACCAGACTCCTGGTTCCTGGCTGATTCAATGTTTTATTTTTAGTTACATGTATTGGTAGGCTACTTAAGGAAAATAATGAAACAGGATGTTGCATTAGGCATGCCCCAGGCTGGTACTGAAATAGACTGCTGGATTCAACAAATGTTTGAGTCCGTGTGTTTTTCTGTATCATATTGACCAACATGAGTGTGAATTCTTAGCTGGTTGTCTTCATAAACAGTGCCTTAGAAAATCATCTGTCTTAGTTAAAGATCAAACAGACACCAGAAAGTATTCAGAAGTCCACCTTTTGTAGCCAATCCCCAAAAATTAAACTGTCTTATGATTTAACAGCAGCTCAGTTTGACTGGATTGTTGTTTTCTGTTTTTTTTTTTCAATCTATGGTGCTATTAGCCCATGTGTATCAGCCTTTGCACGTGTTGAAGATTTTTTTTTTACTGCGATCACAAAGCCTCTGTGATGTTTTTAGATCTCCTTCAATAAAGTTCCTTACACCCAATTCTGTCCACTCGATTTTGTCTATTACATTTTGAAAAAATAAGGAAATGGACAATGAATGCATCTCTGGCAAAGACTTAAGATTAACATGTGGAAAGGAGACTGCAAAGTAATGCAGCACATCAGGGTAGCAAGTCAGTCAAGAAAAGTTCTTTATTTTTAAGGACATAAGGTGAATTTTTGCACAGATTACAAAATGTTAAAAAAGCTAAATAAAAAAAAAGTGACTATGGATAACCGTAAAATATAAACATGGATGCAGCTATGTGCCTAATGTAAAAAAGGAATTCCCCGTTACCAGGGTTCAGTTTAACTTATTTAATTTTTTTTTATGACCTATCAGAAAATGAATTAATTTAACTTAAAGATCAATAAAAATTTAAATCCATCCATCTTACAAACCAGCTTACCCTCCCTTAGCTATAGTGTTGCTAAAGGTGCCTATCTCCAGTGGCCAATAGGTGAAATGAAGAGGACACCTTTGACTGATTTTAGAAAGAAAAACATCTCTGCATTGAAACAGACAAGCAAAACATTCTGTTATAATCTTAAAGTATTTAAGCAACTTTTTGAAAGTCCTCAACTGAGTGCAATGCTGTGTGCTCTTTGAGAGTTGGGAATCGATTTTCAGACTTCCCAGACAAAGCGGAAAAAAGGCCACCAGGTGAGGTTAAAGTTTTAACTATAAAAGATGACAGCAATTCGAGTTCAATACAAAATATGGCTGCCACAGATTTATACGTCCATCAAAAACATTAGAATATTAAGGAAACCTGTAATATTTTTTGCCAGTCATCTCAGAAAGTGAAACTCATACATAGCATAGTTTTTAATGGGGAACTCACGGTGTCACCCCTTAATCAACTAATTAACTCAAAATACCTGCAAAGTTTTACTGGGCCTTACAGGTCTCTAATTTTGGGTCAATGGGCGACATAATCATTGGGACACAATCAACTCTTATCATTTAAGGTAACTTTTAACATTTGAGGGATTAAACTGGTATTTTACAGCACTTGTGCATTAAAATTCATGTTCAGCCATTGGCATAATTCATGGATTATTTATTTTGAACCTTTCCTAATGCAAGTTCAAAATTAAGTATTCAGCATTAGTAATTTAACCTTACGTTTGCCACAGGTGTTCATAAGACCTTAGTCATAGGCTGGAATGGGGGGTTACGCATGCTTTAACAGAGGGGGTTGTTCAAAAATATTATGTTTTTTACATTTATAATAATGTTTAACAACTTTTGGATGACCCCTAACCTTAGTAGAACACAGAAAAGGATGAAATACACCCAGCGGCCTTTTTATTAGGTACACCTGTCGAAATGCTCGTTAACATAATTTCTTTAATCATTACATGACAGCAACTTAATGCATTAAAGCATGGAAACATGGCCTAAAAGATATGCCTTAGTCTAAACAGAGCATCAGAATGGGGAAGAAAACAGATTTAAGTGACTTTGAACATGACATGGTTGCTTCTGCTAGGCAGGCTGGAATTTTCACATACAACAATCTCTAGGGTCTTACAGAGTATGGTTAAAAAAAAATTACAATTTAAAGAAAGCCCAGTGAGTGGCAGTTCTGTGGATGCAGGTGCCCTGTTAAGGTCAAAGAAGAATGTTCAGACTGGTTTGAGCTGATAAGAGGGGAAGAGTAACTCAAATAACCACAAGTTACAACCGAGGTATGCAGAACAGTATCGGAACACACAATATGTTGAACCTTGAGGCGGATGGGCTACAGCAGCAGAAGGAATCACCGGGTGTTGCTCCTCTCTCAATTTCACAGCCTCACCAAAATTTGACAATAGAAGATTGGAAAATGTTGCCTGGTCTGATGAGTCTTGATTTCTGCTGTGAGATTTGGATAGTAGGGTCCGAATTAGGTATCAACAAAATGAAAGCATGGATCCATCCTGACTTGTAAAAACAATTCAGGCTGATGATGAACGTGTGATGATGTGGGGAATATTCTCTCTTTCAGCCCGTTGGGCCCCTTAGTACCATCTAAGCATTGGCACAATGCAACAGCCTACCTGAGTATTGTTGCTGACAATGTCCATACCTTTATGACCACTTTTTTCCATCTTCTGATGGCTACCTCCAGTGGGATAAAGTGCCATAATGTTATAAAGGGCAAAGGATCTCAGACTGGTTTCTTGAACTTGATGAGTTCACTGTACTCAAATGACCTCCACAGTCTACAGATCTCCATGCAATAGAGCCCTTTGGGATACAGTGGAACAGGAGATTCCCATCATTGATGTGCAGAGGACAAATCTGCTTCGTCAGTGTGATGCTATCATGACAATATGGACCAAACTCTGTTTCCAGTGCCTTTACGTCCACCAGCCTGACATATAAATGAAAGATGGCTGCTGAGAAGCTCACAGTTACAGTATTTGGACCAAGTGGGCTGCAACAGAGAAACATTTAAAACATGCAGGGAATGCCCAGCTATTGGTGCCAGATCATTGAGTGTTTGATGCCTGTTTGTTAGTTTTGTGTCGTTAGTTTTGAGTTACTCCTGGCTTCATGTTCCCCTCCCCAGAGGCCATAGGGTTGAGAGGTTTTAGCGTTTGTCTTGTCTCCTCATAATGTCCTGGCTCCTAGGAGGACTTCAGTTTTAAGTCCCTTAAGCCTGGCTACTAGGTGGAGACCAGTTTAAAGTTCTGCAGATTTCTTGGTACCATGTCTTGTCTCTGTCCCTCAACCACTGAGCCTGCCTTTCTGAATTTTTGCGTGTCTGCCTTAGCTTGTTGCTCAACTCATGGAACTCCTGGAACCCTGGATCTGTCTGTTCCTGTTTGGACCAGAACCCCTGACCGGGTTGCGGACTCCTGGATTCCAGAAATGTTCCTGTCTGATCTGTATCCCTGTCCTGGATCGGTCTCCTGCATACTCACTGGGGTTGCTGCATTGGGGACACTCTGGGCGGCTCTGCACCGCAGCTTGCTTTGCAGTCCATTGGCTGGATCCTGCCTTTCTTGGATGGATTGAACTGTTTAACCAAGTAAGTGACTCACACAGATAATCATCTCCCGTTAGATGATCGTTCTCACTTACCTGTGTTTCTCCCTCCAGAGTGTCAGTGATTGGGCTAAATTGTAAGACACGCACCTCCTGGAGAAGCTTGTGGCAGCAACATTTGCTTGATATATAAAATACAAGCGATTCATGGTTACATTTTCAAAATGATCTAAGATTTTAAAATCAAGGTTCAAATTCTCAACTCAGTTTTTGACCTGCAGTTTGTCACGACAACAGGTTTAACATGTTGCGGTCAGAGCAAACCAGTAGTGCAGGGTTAGGCACACAACTCGGGTACAGAGGACTTAGTCCTTACCTGGACTGCCATGGCCTTTATTTCTGACACTTGGACCTTTGCTTTATTGTCTTCCCTCTCTCTCTTTAACCCATTTCAGATTGAAGTAAAGCCTAATAATGCCTTTCCCCCAGAAAAATAGATTTTCTTTGTATTTAAACCAACGTATTTGCCTGTTGAAGTCCGCAAAGACCCATTGTGGTGCCTTTACGTTACATCGGAGCAGAGCTCTCCAACTCTTTGCAGAGATGACAGGAGGCAATATCCTACAAAGATCAAAGCTCTTCGTCAAATAATACCAATTTCTGTCAATTATTACCATTTCAACTCATGTTTCTGCAATATATCTTATTATTTTCTTCTCTGTTGCGCAGCAGGACACATGTTGCTTATTAAGCATTCACTGGAAAAGCATTTCTACAGAACTACAACAGAGTCACGTCTGATCCCATGTTTCTCTTTGATTCTGATTTTTGAGCCAGTATTTTATCTGGAATGCAATGCATTTGAGTATGCGCCTTTCCAAACATTGTGTATCTGCACCGTTTAATTCATGGTTTCCTGTTTCATATGTTATTCCTAAATGGCCGGGGCCCAAAGGGCACTTATCAGATCTGTCCCTGCTTTTGAGTTTATTTGTGAGGCTGTGTATATGTTAAATCTGCATGGGTGTGTCAGCGCAAGCATTGCCTGTTTTCTGTATGTGATTTACAGCATGCATTAACAATAAATCAGAATGCTTATAACTTGGTTTATAAGTCTGTAAGGGTTTTCTTTGTAAATTTCCTTTGGCTCTTCTGCAGCTTTCCAGCGAATTTCCAAAAAGCTTCAGTTGTGTGATGTGGCTACTAGACTGCAAAAAAAGTACTCTAAGAGTCAAGGGCAACCTTTTCCAGAGAAATTCACTGGTAATGACTGAAGTGTAACACATGGGTTTAATTTGAATTTGCACATTGTGTCTGTAGACTGTTGTGTGTTTGTGTGTGAGAT